AGTTATTGTACCTGTTGTTCTCTCCTGTACAGGTGTGATACCACACATGCTACACAAAAGCCTGGGAACATTACAATTGAGTAGAAATACATACATCACACTACAGAAGGCCGCTATATTGAATACATGCCATATTGTTAGGAAATTCCTTAATACAGACACTGACACACACATTTAATTTTAGTTTTGTTTTGGTTGCTATGCCTTGACTCTGGTCCGGCATATTACACAGCCACCGGTTTAAACCGAGTATTACCTACTAAACCCAACATAATAATAATAACCCACTAAATCCAACACAATAATAATAATAATAAATTACCAAACAATTTGACATTAGAGGGAAGCATTAGGCACCATCTCGTAATAAATTTAATAATTATAATTTTAAATTAAACTGGAAAAAAATAATTGGCTCGGAGCATGACTCGAACCTGCAACTGCCGCTTATCATGCGGGTGCATTGCCAATTATGCTACCCAGACCTCTGGTCCAATCTTGTCTTCCAGTATATATAACTATATAGCTATTATATAGCCCGATAGCATACAGCAGTGGTTGGCTTTAGTACTATAATGTATCAGGTTTTTGTAGACTTGTTTGTTTAAAATGGTTAATTGACTTTTGAATTACCTTGTGCTTATATATGAGTCATATCATTTATGTCATTACTATGTATACTGTTGTATATTCATGTATACATACATGATATTATATTTATTATAATATTAATATGTTTTGTTTTAAAATTTATAGATTTTGTTATATTATATTTGTAATAATTAAACTCATTATCTCTGATATAAATATTTTAAGGAATTATTTATATTTTATAACAATGACATAAAAATGAAATTAATTTAAATAAGCTATATTAAAAGTTTCACATTTACATAAAATGTATATTTTTATGTTTAGTATCCCTTGCCTCTGAAAATTTTAAACCACATTTTCGAGGAGAAACATTTTTTTCTGTGTTTTCTGTTTATTTCCCTGCTGCTACCGGAATATTAGCTGGAGCTAATATATCAGGTGATCTTGCTGTAAGTGAATTTTCTTTTAGTGATAAATTAATTTGAAACAAAGAACAGAAGTATGGCATTATTAAAATTTACATGTAATTTGATAATTTATAAAATCAGCTTTAATATTGCACAAGTTCTGAAATGTCCGAATTCAACTCAGAAGTTACAAAATTTAAATATGAATGTAATGCTATATTTCAAAATTTGATCAGTCATGATCAGTCTTAGTATCATCTTATCATTTCTATGAGTACTTGTGATCACAACAATAATTAATCTCTAACTTCATTATGTCTTCCAGCAATATTTTATTAAAAACAAACATTTTCAGCCTAGTTTACATGCTTGTTTCAGGTTCTACATATTCAAATTGAACAATTTATTGTTTAATTTGAAAATTTTTTTTGTCTCCATTTGATAATTATTTATTGAAATAATTTGAATTTTATAATTTAATGTGATAAATATTAGTTATTAATATAAAAATTGTTCTACAGAATCCTCAACATTCCATTCCAAAAGGAACATTTTTAGCAATATTTATTAGTACATTGAGTTATATACTGTTTGCTGTAATTGCTGGAGCAACTGTATATCGCGATGCAAATGGTGTGGAATTTTTTGCTCAGAATGGAACAGTAGAATTGATACGTAATTGCAGCCTTGCAGAATCTGGATACTGCAAATATGGTCTTATGAATAATTATCAGGTAATTTTATTACTTTGTTTTTGTTATAATATAGTTTTATAACTTTAATATATCATCACTGTATGGTATTTAAATCCATATTATCAATATGATAAAATTTAAGCATAACATTATTTCATTAAAATATTTTTAAACCTATAAATTCTTTCACGCTTCAACTCCTATATTTATAAAATTATGGTATTAATATTTTATTAAATTATTAATTTAAATAAATAGTATGGTTAATTAATAAAGTGTTAAAGCATTAGTACAGTACAATAATTTTAATAAATCTATATTTTGCATCAAATGAAAAATTCTATGATTATAATATAAGTAAAATGTTTATAATACAATTCATCAATTTAAAAATATGATTTAAAACTTTATAATTTATAAAAATTCCATATTAATATTATTTACTTGATTCTTTTTAAACATAATTTTCTTATTTATGGCAATTTTTAATGTAAACTTTTTTTGTAAAAGTATATCTTAAAATTATTTTGAGGAATTTTTTAAATGATCAAAGTTTAGACTAATTTGTAAGCAACTTCTCAGTTTTGCAAATCTGTAATCAAAGGGAGTAATGGTTCCCATAAACAAAGCAATAACCTTACTTTAATTCTACAGAATGTAATTAATATTTTTCAGAAGACAATTGAAAGAATTGTTTAATACTTCAATTAGTTTTTATGTATTCAAAGTCCATAAATAACTAATGTTGACTTCATTTATAGAATTTAACAAATCATCTTATTTGCTACTATCTATGCTGTAGACCTAACTTGTAAGCTTGTTTGAGAGGTTTTAGTTATATTTTTATGTTCATGTTTTAATTTTGTATTGATTCTTGTGCTAAGGACATAAATAAACTCAAAAATCTTTTCATATGAATTGTGAGGCACTAGTTCAAAAAATTTTTTGAATTTTCTGTTTATGTCAAAACTTTTATTCAAATATCTATTTATTAATTATTATAAACTTATTGAATAAAGTTAATCTAAATATCCATTATAAGGTTATCTGTTCTGTATTATATTAATTGTATACAATTACTAGCAAAGAATGCTCAGTATTGTTCAAGAACTCGGAGGGGGTTGAGTTATCCTCAATATAGAGTAGTATATGTTTCCCACCAGATGGCAGAGAGTAACTATGCAAAATTTGGTGCAAATTAGTCAGAGAGTTTGTCAATTTGTGAGGATGAAACCACAGAAAGGAGTAAGGGTCTGAGTTTTAAAGTAGCTTATTTTTTTTGGAGGATTGTAAAAACTAACTACAGTCGACCCCCCTATATGATCATAGATACGTTCCATTTTTTAGGAATCTGATTTCTTACGAGTCGTTCCAATCACAGCCCGACACATGTAAAGTTTACGGACTACAGCTGATTGAAAGGTTTTCTTCCATAAAATAATCAATTCTAGACTAATCCAACTCAACATTTCCAAAATACGTATATATTTTTTGGAAACAATTCATATAAACTACGCTATAAACAAAAAATTGTAGGATTACTTACCGAGTATGCACCATTCGACAACCCCATTGCTAAAGCTTGTTTTCGTCGTGAAGCAGCACACCAAACCTCAGCCGATTTCTGATAATTTATTTTTCTGCGAAAACTTCGTTGAACTTCGGAAACATCATTAATATAAATAATTTTAATCGCCGTTGAATAAGAAATGTTTCTTTCACAAGAAATGTATAAAATTACAGTACTGTATTAGACTTACGGTACCTAATTTACATACTGAACAGACGATAGTTAGCGTAAAAATCTCCGTAGCGTGGCGCCACGCTAGACGGCGGAAATTATATATTTAATTATAACAAAGTTACAATAAGTTAATATATAATTATATATACAGTACCTAATTTATATATAATTAATATATAATTATATGTACAGTACCTAATTTATATATAATTTATATAATACTGTCCAGACGATAGAAATCTCTCCGTAGCGTGGCGCTACGGACGGCGGGAAAGTAGTTCGGCTGCCTGATGACGTTTAACGTAATTATAGGGGGTTTTTTACTGTTTTTTACGGATACCGTCACAATTTTTTCGCAGTTTTATAGGAATCGTAATTATTGGGACCGTAATTATAGGGGGGTCAACTGTATTCAAAATTTATCCAGATCACTCAAAAGGTTTGGGGTTTGGGAGTAGAGGAAAAAGCAGAGAGAAGGTCTGAGTTTTATGGTAGTCCATGTTTCCCATAGTGTACCAGAGAGTAACTATGCAGAATTTGGTTCAGATTGGTCAAAGGGATAGGGAAGATGAAATCAGCAGGAAGAAGTTAGGGGTCTGAGTTTTAAGGTAGCTTACATACATCAGAAAGTAATAACTATACAATGATCCCTTGACACAGGTGTATTTTGTGAGAATGCAACTTTCTTTTAGGCATTTTATTGTCAATAAAACTCATTTGGATAAGATTTATGATGTGAATAACACTGTTGGGACCTTAACAGAACTGTAGAGCATGCCATAGGAGCAGAAGGTTAAAGGAACCATACCTCTATATGTCACTCTGCAAGATATTGCCTCTCTGAAATCAGTCTACTTTTAGGCTCTATAGGGAGTCACACTATGAGCTCCACTTAGCCTATCATGCATTTAACAGACAGCCCAGCATGGTGGTTAGAAATTCTAATGATATTTATCAGTGAAGAATAAAGAAAAGTTCAATGTGCAACCCTTTGCAAGATATTTGCCTCTAAATATGGAACCCTAACAGTGGCAGTTCTAGTTGCTCTCTTGCTTGCAGACATCATGTTTGCAAGCAAGAGAGTATGTTTCATGTAACTTATATTAACGTAAGAGTATTATTATAAGAAACGAAGTTTAAAAAGCCCACCAGGTGGCAAAGCGGATTGACCTTGAATGGAGCAGATAAACAATGATGCAAGACAAATGCGGTGGTAAAAACATCAGTCTCATGCATTTTCTTTTTTAATATAAAAATAGTATATGGCTTATGTTCATCTAGAAGAAATAAGCTTTCCAACAGCAAAAAAATTTTAAAAATTGGTTCAATAGATTCCAAGATTGCCTATAGCAAATGAACAAACAAATACTCTTGCTTTATATATTAGTATAGATTTATCAAATATTTTCATATTTACTATGCATATTACACTAGATTTTCATTGATTGCTGTATAAAGTATTTTTAATTATTTTCTGGCAAGTCATAAACAATAATAATTTTTTTTAAACAGCATATAAATTACTTGTTGCTTAAATTATTTATAATAATGTTTTGAAATTTATTGTAATAGGTAATGGAACAAGTTTCTGCTTTTGGTCCAATAATTTATGCAGGTATATTTGCTGCTACACTTTCCTCTGCATTAGCAAGTCTTGTCAGTGCACCTAAAGTTTTTCAGGTAAATATGTAAACATATTTTTCAACTTAGACAACTGATTATTAATATCACAAATTGTAAAAAAACTGAATTTGTAAACAGCAACAAGATTATAAATTATTTAAAATTTTTCTAGGCACTCTGTAAAGATAACTTGTTTCCACACATACATATATTTGCCAAAGGTTATGGAAAAAATGCTGAACCTCGTCGGGCATACCTTTTGGCTTTTGTTATTGCTCTTGCTTGTATTGCAATAGGTGAGAAACTTATTTTAATAATATAATTATTAATTAAATATTAACACTTAAATATATTCTAGTATTATATAATATTCAATGAATAATTTTAAATTATAAGAAAATGTTTCTTTAATTCTTATCAAATTATTTGTTGACATTTTATAATCACATTGTTAATTTATGACATGGAAGATATAATTTGCCTACGATCATTGCAATGCTTAAGTAATTTAACCTGGTTCCAAAGTGGAAGATAATCTTGTTCTAGCACCTTTTTCGCTAATTCTACTATCCTACTATAAATTTCACTGTAGAAGAGGAGCAAGAAAACACAATTTCCTTTTTAGATTTAGAAGTGCATAGGTATCCGGAGCTAACTTTTGCGGTGCACCACAAAAACAACAGAGGACCAGATATTATCCCTGTAACTGCTTTCCAACCCCCGAGCTTTATTAACTCCGCTATTACTTCACTTATTCNTAGCTTCAATATATCCTACTATAAATTTCACTGTAGAAGAGGAGCAAGAAAACACAATTTCCTTTTTAGATTTAGAAGTGCATAGATATCCGGAGCTAACTTTTGCGGTGCACCACAAAAACAACAGAGGACCAGATATTATCCCTGTAACTGCTTTCCAACCCCCGAGCTTTATTAATTCCGCTATTACTTCACTTATTCGGAGAGCGCTCCTCATTCCATCTTCCCAGACATTAATTGATGAAGAATTACAAATTATCAAAAGAGCAATGCACAACGCTGGATATTCCAACTCCAAATATCGATATCTCTACAACCGGGTCAAAAACAAATTATTTCCAAAATCTTTCCTCTGCAACAAAGAAAGCCTAAAGATAATAAACTCTCCAATACCGTACCTGGGCACCATCTCACTAAAAATAACACGCATATTCAGGAAATATGGTTTCATATTACCTATAACCCCTCAACCGTCACTACGAAGAACATTNATATAATTGCAGAATTTTCAGTTTATTAGATGAATATTTCTAGATCACAAAAACTTTCATAAATTTTTTAAATGTTCTTAAAATTTATATCTAAAATGTTTTATTTATTAAAGTAGTTTTCTTGTAACATGTAAGATAATCAATGTTCTTTCTATTAAAACAATTTTAAGTAAAGTCACAACTATTAAAATAAACAACAAATGTACCGGTGAGCCTGTTACCGGTGTGCTTCTCAGAAAACAGAGCATTATGAGCATTTTCGAACTTGGAAGTTCCCCTTCAGGTAACTAATGACTGTTAAACGAATGCAATTCAAATTGGAACACCATTCAGAATTCTATCGCCTGGATATCGATAATGTCATTCAGGCACTCTTTTAATAGCCGTAGATTATCGTAAGTTCTTGTCTAAGAATGCCTGCCATGCTGTTGACAGGGTGATTTCATTCTTATGGTTAATGGAATTATGGCAGGTGCTCGTAGACAAGAACTTACAATAATCTACAGCCATTAAAAGAGTGCCTGAATGACGTTATCGATATCCACGCAATAGAATTCTGAATGGCATTCTAATTTAACTTTAATTTGAATTGCATTCGTTTAACAGTCATTAATTACCTGAAGAAGAACTTCCAAGTTCGAAAATGTTCATAATGCTCTGTTTTTCTGAGAAGCACATCAGTAACAGGCTCGCCGGTACATTTATTGTTTACTTTAACCCGGTGTAGTATCACTCTTGTTTAACTATTAAAATATCAACCTAGTTGACAAAATTTAACTTTTATTAAATTTAAGATAAAATTTTCATTTTCATGATTCCTTAATCTTAATGTGAATATATTAATAGATGCAATTTCAAATTATAAGTTTTGATAAATCTTTATTAAGCATTAAACGTTTTTAGAATTTAGAATTTTTTATAGGAAGTTGAATAATATCTGTTCTAATTGTATTTATTCTATTGAAAAAAGTTCTTCAGAAAATATTTTATTATATTGTGATTTCTTTAAGATTCTGAGACTTTGAAACAATAGAATTTCTAAAACACAGATACAGAAAAGTAATTTTTTAAAAATGGAAATTAGAAGAAAATTTTAAGTATAATATTTTATCATGACATAAAATTTATTATTTTAAAATGTACTTTCTATATTGTTTGATTAATCAATAAATTAATTTAGAATTAATGATATTTATTTATTTTTAGGTCAATTGAATGAAATTGCTCCAATTATCTCAAATTTTTTTTTGGCTGCATATTGTTTGATTAATTTTTCATGTTTTCATGCTTCCTTTGCTAGATCACCAGGTAAGTTATTTTTTAAATCACTTAAATAAACATTGATAAATGATTAATATATAATATGACTCAACTGTTACATAATTTTTCCAGGATTTCGTCCAGCATTCAAGTATTATAATCTCTGGTTGAGTCTGTTAGGTGCAATATTATGTTTAGCAGTGATGTTTATTATGAATTGGTGGACTGCTTTAATTACATTTGCTATTATTTTAGCATTATATATTTATATATATTATAGAAAACCAGGTAATTATTTAAAAATTATTTGACTAAATGTAAAGAATGAAAATATGATTATATCTCTAAATATTGATATTTTATACTATTCATGTCATACTTGGCTCAGTTATAAATCAGTACTTGATACATGTCTTTTTTTTTTAAGTAGATAAAAGTATTATTTTCTAAATTTGATTTGTGTTTGACAAATAAGAATATTATATTTAATTTTAATATAAATTTGATTTAAACTAAGTACAATTTATTAAATTCTATAACAGACTATGTATTTGATTAAATAAATATTAATCAGTAAAAGGATAAACTTTTAAAAGATACGTATAAACAATATACATCCACAACACACCATAACTTCTAAAACTTCCAACTTAAACCAAAAATGGTGCTTACATTGACTTTATCGTCTTTCACTAACGTTTTCGAACCTTTTGGTTCTTCCTCAGGTGAAAAAAATGGGCAAACCAATTTACATTTGATTAAGCTGATCTTTTTTTGAAAGAATTCCAAAAATGGAACATCTCCAAAACTCGTGCAATCGTCGTCCTCCTTTGCGCCTGCGCCGTTGTGAGCCTAACTTTCATCTCTTCATGTGTCATATACCAGGGTTTGCCACACTACTGATAATGATATTTCATCTTTGCTGTTGATACAATTGTTACTCTGAGCTGCTTTGTGTATATAAACTGCTTCCATCAAATGCAAATGGTGCATCTGGTGTGTGGTGTATATTATCAGGGTAACAATTGTATCAACAGCAAAGATAAAATATCATTATCAGTAGCGTGGCAAACCCTGATATATAACACATGAAGAGATGAAAGTTAGGCTCACAACGGCGCAGCCGCAAAGGAGGACGATGATTACACGAGTTTCGGAGATGTTCCATTTTTGGAATTCTTTCAAGAAAAGATCAGCTTAATCGAATGTAAATTGGTTTGCCCATTTTTTTCACCTGAGGAAGAACCAAAAGGTTCGAAAACGTTAGTGAAAGACGATAAAGTTGATGTAAGCACCGTTTTGGTTTAAGTTGGAAGTAAGTTTTAGATATGTATAAACTTTAGTTCAAGAAAATATTTATCTAAAATAAAATATTCAAATTGTTGAGAGAGAGAGAGAGAGAACTACATAGATCTCAGATAGAACATTTTATCAGCATAAACACTATTTTGAATGGATAATGTGCAGATAATATATTTAGTTTGTGATATTTTTGAAAAAACCATAATAAAACAGATTTGGATAAAGGCATGACAAAAAAAAAAAGTGAAAGTTGGCATTTTAAAAATAATTTTTTAGTGTTAATAAAAATTTATCTTTCAGAAATCTGTAAAGAAAATTAAACATAAAAATTTTGAGTAGTTTCAATATATTTTAAATAATGTCATCAGGAATCATATAGAAATATTGGAAAAAATTTGAATTTAGTAGCATGTTTGGTTCTCATAGTTTTTAGACATTAGAAAATGAAAAATTTGTGTACCTTTATTAAATAAGAAATGAATGGTATTAGCTATTATGGTAGCCATCTTTACATTACAAACATAAAACAAATTTTAAAACTATTTGAATCACTCAGTTATGCAGATTATACAATAAAAAAATTTTTATTTTAAATAAGGTGATTACACAACTTCAACAAAATTTTAAAATGAAAATGAGGTTGAGATTATAAAAAATCATGCATTAGACATCTCTAAATAAATATTTCATGAAAAACATTGTGATTGATATGAAGCACTTTTTAACAAAAAGAATAAATACAGAAAAGATTTGTTTAAAAGAACAAAATGTTGAAGAAAAAGTAATTCAATAAGTATTGATTTAAATTTTGTTAATATATGAAAATAACATCAAAACATTTTATATTGTAGTATTAATTAACATTATTATTATAAATATGTTGAAGCTATAAGAAAAACTGAACAAAAAAAGTGATTTTCAAAAAGATACAATTAATTTTTCCTTTTAAATAAATATTTTTATGCTGTGAAAAGCAATTCAGCATATTTAATATTGAGTACTTAATATTTTCAAAATGCTTGTATATAGCTATTGTATGTGTCATAAAATTAACATAATTATTATTCCTTGCAGTAATCCCGACTTATCCATTTTGCTATGGAATTATCCAAAAGCACAAAAAGATATTAAACCTGTTACATGTTTTTTATACCTAGCATCACATTTCTGTTATTTCATTTGGCATCACGATTTTTTTTCAACTGAAATTTTGAGTTAATCAGGTCCAAAAAGTATTAAAATTTAACTGGAATATCATATTGAACAAAAATAATACAACCTTTACTCCAGCAATAAATGTTTATGTAGATCAAGGGCCATCCCTAGCAGATATGCAGCCCTCAGACTAGTTTCTTTATGCCACTTAATATAAAACAATTAACATTGCCTCACGCTGTTGGAATATCACTTGTCCAAAGATTAATCTAATTTCTGATTTTAAAATACACATTTACAGATATAAATAATAAAAAAAATCATAAAAATGATTCATTTCTTTTAAATTTTAACATTATGCTGCCTTTTTTTTTTTTTTTATGCTGCCACAAATTATGCTTCCTTCTTTAATTGCTGCTAACACCTGAGTTGCCTGAGCTTTAGGGATGACTCTGTGTAGGAATAATGTTTATGAGCTATTTTCTAACTCTTCTTCAGGTTTGAGAAATGAAAAAAAAATTTTTTCGAGTTTACATCAAAATATTTTTATGTATAAAATTATAAATCACAATTATTATAAGATTATAAATGTACAATTCTTTGAAAATTTAAAGAATAAAAATTCTTTATTTTTGTTCTTTATTATAAAATGCAATAAAATTAATGTATTTTTTATAGTTTCATGTTTAATAATATCTTATTTAACATATGAGAAACACTAAATAATGGCTTTTATTTCTTTTAAATTCACTTTATAAAATTTTTATTATAGATGTAAATTGGGGATCATCAACACAAGCTCAGACATACAAAGTTGCACTTGAAGCTGTTATTAAATTAAATCAGGTTCAAGAACATGTAAAAAATTATAGGTAATAAAATTATTATATATTTTAATTATTTATTAAAGGAATATATCATTTTGAAAAAATTAAATTTGTATTATTATTTTAGGCCTCAAATATTAGTATTAACAGGAAATCCAAATAGCAGACCTCCACTAGCTGACTTTGCATATAGTATTTGTAAGAAGTTGGGATTGGTAGTATGTGGTCATGTTGTTAAGGTAAATGAATTAATATATTTAAGGAAAATGTTTTTAAAAATAAATGTAAATAATTAATTAATTAAAATTAAAATAACTGTCCTTAAAAAATTTGTTTAATGTTCTTAATATATAATGAATATATCTTTTTCATAACCTGTTTTGGTGTCTTATGTTTAAATTAAGCATATTTGGTAAAATTTTAATATTTAGCAATCATAATTTAATTGACAATGATGCTCTCAAACTGATATTGTTAAGCAGTGAAATTAAGCAGTATAGTTTTTATTTGAAAGCAGACATTTCCAAATACATCATAATTTTGAAGTTGTAAACCAATAAAAAATAATTAACAATTTTGAATTTTTTTAAAAAGAAGATATCTAAGCCAGTTAAAGATGTAGGTCTAGATACTAGATAGATCCATCATTTAGATTTACCTTTGCTCAAATCTAAAGTAACTATTTTATGTATAGTAATTAGAGATGAGTGAATATAATCTGCAAATATTTAGATAATTGAATACTAGAAAACATTGAAGAGCTTGAATATTAATTGATAAAAAATAAATTTGAATACTATGAATACCATCAATATTGTACCATATGTACAGTCACATTTGCAGATTCAGAAATACCCAAAGAGGGACCAATAGGATGGAAAAAGTATATAATTTAGAGCAATTTAAAAAGCAAATATTTTACATAGATTGCATTTTTTTATCATATTGCTTTAGACATATTTTCAGTTTGATATTCCATAGATCATATTCTTCATAAATATATTTTACAAGAGAAACTTCAATATATTTTTATTAGTAGATCATTTGAAGATAATTGAATAAATGTTATCTTTTATCCTAAATTTTCTCCTATTTTATAGCAGTTGATATCAAAGTAATTTTACAATAATTTATTACAATCACTTTTAGTTTAAAAATAATTGATGAAAAGCTTGATTTAGTTTTCATTAAACATTTTTATTATATGGAAATAAATGATTTAATTTTATTACTGTAAAGTAGAATTATATTTCAATGCAATTTTGAGAAATATTATTTTTAATATTTCAATAAACTTTAATAAAAAAAAAACACTGTTTAAAACTTTAAAAAATTTTATATTATTTTTTCTCAATACATTAATCTAATGCATTACTATGGAAAAATAAATACAGAAAATTGAATCATTAATTACTCATTTTTTTGTATTACAAGTTGAGTGCTTGATCCTAAGAAAGTGAGTTAGGATAACTCTTTTCGTCATAAATTAATGATACAAATAATTATAGAAATATATTTCTGTTAAATTGAAAAATTTTCTAATTTTTTTACACTATTTTGTGGGTTTTGAAAAATAAGTATAATAAATAATTTATTTCTTGATATTCTATTAGTTTATTATTATGTAAGAATTTTGTTTATGTTTAAATCTAGGGACCTATGTCTCAACGTTATCGAGTAGCACAAACAAAACAAGCTTATAATTGGTTTCAAAAACGAAAAATGAAGGCATTTTATAGTTTGATAGAAGAAGATGTGTTTTCACGTGGTGTTCGCAATCTGATACAGGTAAAGATAATTAAAAGACTGATTTAAGTTTGCATAATTTTTAATTAAATAAATATTGTTAATTTTTATTTAGATATTCCTATACTTTTATCTAAAGATTAGTTAATCAGATAATAACAATCTTATTTTTAGTCAAATATTTTTCATAAAGTAAATTAATTTAATATAACATAACTTTTCAATAGAATACAGTTATAATTTACTTGGAAATACATATGTACATAAATATTTACATAAATTAAAACAATTATTCTGTAAAAATATATTAGAATTTTTAAATGCAATTCTATAAATACATAAATAGATATCAAGGTAACAATTTTTTTGTTTATTTTATGCAAGTAAATTAAAATTAAAAGAAGTTTTCATAATATAAATAAAATAAAATTTATAACAAAAATCAGCATTTGTTATAAGAGTAAAAGCCCTTTTTTAAAACACAACTGAAGTTGCTCATAAAATATAATAAAAAATAAACCTGTAAATATGACTTGCTGCAATTTGTTATGGCTTTTTTGATTTCTTGAGTTTGTGATCAGTTTTTAAGCACTGTTTTTTTAATACTTTGTGTGAGCACATCTTGCTTTATTTTAATTTTTTTTTATATAATACAATTTATTTATTACTAATACAGTATTTGTAGTATAACAACATATTGTTTTAAAATGGTATAAAACAGGAACAATTAAATTATGACTATTAAATTATTGTATATAAAAACTTTTATGTAAAAATCATAGAAACTTTTCAAGAAATTTTATTTATTTATTGATTTATTAATGATTTTCATATAAAAAACTTATTTTTCATACATATCCCATATGCTTAATATTAAAAAACAAGATTTTCCTAATGTAATAATTTATTCAAATATAATATACAATTATGAACATTTTAACAGCTTTGTCATTCATTTGAAAATCCTGTTAAAAATGTATTCAATGTTAATATAATGATTTTGATAAGAAAGATATATTTAAAATGCAATGAGCACATACAAATATGACAATTAAGCCTTACAATGCTAGCTGTCAAAATATATAATGATAATACGGTTTAGAATGAAAATGGCGGGAAAAATATGACTAATCCATCTAGTGGCAAAAAAAAAAAACGAAATTACTTCCAAACAACCCAATAATTATAAGTAATGAAGAGAAAATTAATCCATTCCCAGACCTTAAACAATACCAATTTCAATATACTTAAAATAGCAAATACACATAATTTAAGGTAAAAATAACACAATTAAATGCCCTAATAATAAATTAAAACATGAAAACAATATAAATATTGTCAAATAAAATGAAAATTGCATTTACTGATTGCACACCGTTGACTTTGGCATTTTACACATTGCTGCCAGATTCGCCACGTGTACCAGACCCTCTTTTATGCTTTGCAAGAAGTTCTTTTTTCATCTGAATCATCAATATTACAGCCTTTCTCTCTTGTTACAGTAGACTTTGTTGCTTCCAAACACTTCTCAGTTGCCATGATTAATAAGTAAAGATAATATTGAGTTGAACAGAAAGTGTCTTGCATACTTTTAACAGCTGTCTTTACTTATCATAGATGTCTGCTTTAATTATAACAGTTGTGAAATTAACCCTTCAACTGCCATATATTTTCAGGCTATAATTTGGTAATAATAATTATAACTTACTAACAAATAGAGGAAGGTGTTAAGTGCCATCTTGTATTAAATTTAAGATGAGTATCGGGTTTGTTGTGGATGTTTATAGTTGTAAAATTTAACATATTATTGCTAATTTGAAATTGTATTCTTTGCTCATAAGCTTATTCTATGCTTGCAGTGCATTTTTTACTTTGCATTCAGTTTGAACTTTGATACATCATTTAAACTCTGAAGCATTCAAAGTTAGAATTGTTTGAAATACTAGATACCACTGTAAATATAATCTGAAAAATCCAAATATTATAGAATTTCTAATTTTTAGTCAAAATATTCTAGAAAGAAAATTTTTTACATTAATTTTTTAGATAGTTTTTAATATTTTTGAAAGCATTTTACATTACTTTGTTTATTTATTATTAAAGCTTGTTGGTGTTGGAAAACTTCGTCCCAATGTTGTGTTTATGGGATACAAGTCAAACTGGCAAGAATGTGATCCTGAAGAGACTTTAGAATATTTTAACACAATACAGTAAGTTTTAATTCCTATTTTTTAATGTTATGTTTGTTTTTAATCTCTGTTAATTGTATCAATTAATGGAGATAATAATAGTAATACTGNATATTAATTATTTTTACCATGTAGATATGTGAATATATCAGTAGCATTACTATATATCAATCTACAGGGCAATTTCTGTTGGGGGTGCCTTTTGCACCCCCAACAGAAATTAGCCCTATAGAAACTAGGTTTGCCATCCAGGTGCCATCCAGGTGCAGGGGAACATTTATTATATTTAAAATTTTGACTAATAAGAATAATAATCAAAATTAGATAAACAAAACATAGATATAAAAGTAAACACTGCATATCAAATTGTTAATTAAATAATACTCGTAGTAAATTAATAAGGGTGGCAATGTGGTTTTTGTATCTAGGCAGGCAGCAACTCAGAAATGGCTGTCATTTCTAACTCAAAAACATTAAAGTAGATATTATACTGGAAGAATATATTTGTAGATTATGTACAAAATTTATTTTTATTTGTAGCTTTACATATAAAAATTTTCCTATGTAATTTGCAACTAATATGTTATCTAGATCTAGCTTTCATTAATCTATAAAAATTATTTAATATTTAAGTGAATCATTTGATATGCATATGTCACTTGGAATACTCCGTCTACAAGAAGGTTTGGATTATTCTCAATACACTGATCTTGAAGAATTTGCTGCGTATTAATACTAAATCAAACAATCACCATAATTAGTCAGGCTATTTTTTGCTGCTTTTAATAATTAGAAATTAAGTAATTTAGTATTAGAGGTAGACACCATCTCTTATCATAATTAATAATTATAATAATTTGATATTTATTAAATAACTTAGAACAGTCTGGAAGAAAAGAATTGTTCCAGAGCAGGATTCAAACCTTCAACCTCCACTTACTGTGTGGTGTGCTGCCTAGCTACTGTCCAATTACTGTACTTAATTTATAATTATTAAAAGTAGTAAAAAATAGCCTGATTAATTACAGTGATTGTTTGGTTTAGTATTTTACTATTTATTTCCTTATTATAATTTTTATGATGTGTTCAAAAATACAAATTTATTATTTAAAGAAATAAATATTAATTTTTATTTATTCATATAAAAATTTTTATATGAATAAATAATAATAAGAATTGTTTATGAAGTACACATTATCTTTTGATGATGGATGCCACAACAGAACAATGTGGCTTTATGGGACAAAGCATCCCCTCATCAAAAAGGTTTCTGACTTGCACTTGCCAAAATTTTTAAACTCAGTGCACCTACATAAACTATACAAACATGGCATACTTTTATATAAGTAATGACAGTAGAACATTTATTTACACCTGTAGAACAATCTCATTGTAGGTTCATAATCATTTCACGTGTTTTTTTTATACATAATTGTTATTTATCAAGTTACTGTTATACAGTAGAGTGTTGATTATCCGAATCAATTGGGGACTGGGGTTGTTTGGAAAATCTATATTTCGGATAACCAATTATTCACGAAAAAATATATTAAACTATCCCATGTTGAAATTTTTCTCCGTTGCCTGTCGCTTCGCGTTGAATTTTCATCAATGTTAAGCCTAATGAAGACTTATTGTATCGTTAAAAATTACTTTTTTATTTTGTACAAACAAAATAAATATATTGAAAAATATAAAAACAATAAAAAATTATACTTCGGAAGTTAATTCAGTATCAAAAACCAAGACAGTGCTTCAAAAACCTTGAGTAGCCCAAGACATAGCTAAAGATTGCAGCGCCACAGCACTGGCGAAAATTTAAATTTGCCGACTGGAATTCTTTTGAATAATTGACGTTTCGGATAATTGTCTTTCGGATAATCGACGCTCTACTGTATTTATTTCTTTTATTTTTGTGTATTAATAATTTATTAATCTTATTAATTTTGTTATTTTAGAACTTAAGTTTATTCTATTTTACATCTCTTTACTAAGCTTGTAACAATGGCTAGATTCTATATTTGAATCTCATGATAGGTAATAATGTAACCAAAATATTTCTTTTATTAAAATTTTGCTAGATTTTAAATATTTATTACTTTCAGTTTAATTTGAATTATTATATATTTTTCCTACTTGCTCTTAATATTTTCATAAAAATTAGAATTTACTTCAATATTAAAAATCAGATATATTATAAAAGTTCTTGTTAAAGTTAAAAATTATTATAATATATATCAGCATGAAAGAGACTGACAAACACACCCAAACAACCTTAAAACGCAGCAAAAACTTTACTAACTAGTACATTTTTTTATCATTTTTTAACAACCTTCCTTTTGCATTTTGCATTTCATTTTATATTCTCAAGGAAGGTCATTAAAAACAATTGAAAACATTCTAGTTAGTAAAGTTTTTGCTATGTTTTAAGGTTGTTTTTGTATGTTTGTTACTTTACACAGCAGCTGTAAATCAGTTACAAAGAGACTGTGATTTTTGTGAGTTCTAAATGTAGAATATTTAGAATTTACTACAAAAGATAGCATTTAAACACTTATCACATTGTAGAAAACAAAACTTGAATTTAAACAGCATGACTAATATTTTATATTAATACTGTAAAAATTGTTTAGCTTTTTATAAAACTGTCTGATATTTGTTAGTTTAACAACTGACTTCAAAATAAAAAGTGTCATTATGAAATAAGTTTTTTTTAGCATAATAATAATTTTCAATTGCTATTTTTGCAAATGTTTTTTAAATAACTATATTTTTGTGTAACTATTAATCAGTAATTGGTTACATGATCAGTAATGTTACATATTAATTATTTTTACCATGTAGATATGTGAATATATCAGTAGCATTACTATATATCAATCTACAGGGCAATTTCTGTTGGGGGTGCCTTTTGCACCCCCAACAGAAATTAGCCCTATAGAAACTAGGTTTGCCATCCAGGTGCCATCCAGGTGCAGGGGAACATTTATTATATTTAAAATTTTGACTAATAAGAATAATAATCAAAATTAGATAAACAAAACATAGATATAAAAGTAAACACTGCATATCAAATTGTTAATTAAATAATACTCGTAGTAAATTAATAAGGGTGGCAATGTGGTTTTTGTATCTAGGCAGGCAGCAACTCAGAAATGGCTGTCATTTCTAACTCAAAAACATTAAAGTAGATATTATACTGGAAGAATATATTTGTAGATTATGTACAAAATTTATTTTTATTTGTAGCTTTACATATAAAAATTTTCCTATGTAATTTGCAACTAATATGTTATCTAGATCTAGCTTTCATTAATCTATAAAAATTATTTAATATTTAAGTGAATCATTTGATATGCATATGTCACTTGGAATACTCCGTCTACAAGAAGGTTTGGATTATTCTCAATACACTGATCTTGAAGAATTTGCTGCACCAGTTGTTAATGGCAAAGGATCAAAGGCAGGCATGGAGAAAGAAATGGCTAACACAGGATTTCCTAGAAATGTTTCAAGTGCTCAGCTTTCTCAAGGTAAATTTTTCGTAAGAACTATTAGGAATGTATTTTTTTTTTTTTTTTAAATTATGGATAACAAATATTTATTATTTGCAAATTTGAGTATACTAATTATAATATGACATTTAATTACAAATACTGAAGACATTCATAAAATAAACATTTTCAACATTATTTTTTTCCTTTAATCTTAACAAACAACATATGAAATCCCATATTACTTCTGAAAAAGAATTGTTTTATTTCTTACTTTTATGACAAGAGCCGTAGACTAAATACTGTATAAATAATACTAAATAAAACCTGTAAACCAGTATAAAACTGGTTTACAGGTTAGTAAAATAAACTAATGACTAAACAACAATAATTTCAATATTAATAAATTCAACTTTATGAAAAGTGAAAAAGACTTCTTTTAGATAAACTTCGTCAGACTTAAAGAAAGAAAAAAAACCTGATTTGCAACTTATGAGATCAAAGTTATAGTAAACCAAGACATATATTCACAATAGTTAAACAAAGAAAAAAATGTAAAAAATACTTAATAAAAAATAATAAATAATAAGCTTTCATTAGCTTAAATTTGTGTAGTTTCGATATATCACATATATCGAAACTACACAAATAATATACTTTGAAAAGAACCATTACTACACATATCAAGAGTTACCTGTTTATCATGCTATGGTATTTTTATATTTAATTTTTAATTTTCTTAAATTTTTATTTTGAATAATAAATTATTGATATTATATATATATGTATAATGTAATGTATTTATATTTATATTTATNTTCTGTCTTGTATTTATATAATAATTCTATAAAATATGGAATTTAATCAATTAATAAAGTTTTTTATGTTATGAATTTATGTTTTGAAGTTTTCAGAATTTTTGCAATATCTTCAGATTAGAAACTTAAAATCAAAAGCAATGATGATAAAAATTTTAATGACACATCTCTTGTTTAAATATTTAGTAAGGCAGACAGTTTGCCAATAGCAAATTTGTTTTGCTTTCATTCTCATTTTATTTTTCAAATTAATGTTAAGAGACATAAATATGATGCTTAACATATTATATTTTAAAAGTGACTAATTCTTTTATTAATACACAGTTATTAAAAAGTTAAACATTTTAATCTTTATTCTATCTTTTATTTTAGTGGATAAGATGATACTTGAATTATTAAACACCCAAAACCAGGTGTTTTCTCATAGGCCAGATACAAAAACTGTGATGTTAAAATCTCATTCCAAATCTATAATCCACTCTATAGAGTCTATAGCCCACCCTATATGGCATTGTCAATAACCACGGATATAAGAAACTGTGCACATTGATAATCACTTACAGACTGCAATGTCTTAAACTGTCTGCTTGCTAACAATGCATATTTCTTACTTCTTCACATTCTGCATATTACTGTATCATCATATTGCTATGTCACCATATTGATAATCACTGCCTATTGACTAAAACTTCTTCACAAATGGTTTAATAATTTGATGTCAACTCATACAATAGACACAAGTTAAAATCATCAAATCTAGGTCTTGTCTTATACAAAAATCACTTTACTATCAAAATATACAGTACCTAATAAAAGTTTTGGATTAAAATATTTTTAATAAAGTCTATTTAATTTTTTTGATTTTGTTAATGAAAGTTTTTTCAATAAATTATGTTAGCAACTATTAATGAATTTTAAAGTGCATAAATATGTAAAAAGTTTCTAACTGAAGAGAAAGTGTTCAATTAAAGAATTTTTCAGAAATTTTTAAAAAATTTAGTGATTGTCTGGTTGTTCCAGCCAACCAAACTTATTTGGACTAGTAAATGTACTTTTGAAGTTGTCCAGCAGGCAACATCATTTATTTTCTCATTTTTTCTTAAAATATACACAAAATACAAAATGTTATCTCATTAAATAGTAATAAGTACTTCTTTTAGTAATAATAGAATAATAATAGCAAAGCAACTGAAAGTCCATTTGAGATGTCAAATGCTGTTATGACAACAAATTCAATATGAGAGCAGAAAGCATATGAGATGAGAAAATACAAAATTAAGTATTGGCAACTAGAGGAAAACTTGTAATGTTTTATGAAGTAATAGTCATTTGTATGAACTATAGAACACTGTTACCATATGTTTTAAAGACTTTTATTTTAATTTATTATTATTATATTGTTTTGTATTCATTAATTCTCTATTGCATTTAAATTATAAATATGATTTAAACTAAAATAGAATATTTTCTAAAACATCTTACTAAATTATACTTAGATATAATTAATTCTGTTTTTGGTTTTATACACATTAAAATATATAAGAAAAACTTTTTTGCCAGGACCACTAATTTTTTCCAAATAGACACATTTTTGCTTTATTGATATTTCAAATTGAACAAGTTGTACTGTGCTTTAAATACAGAAAAATCATAGGCTTCTGTAATAAGTTTCATTTTAATGATTAAATAACTAGCATTAGTATACATTACTTAATCATTCTTAACATCTTTCATTAAGAATTCATTAATCATCTGTTTATACTTTCATTACTTATAGGTACTATTAAATAATAAATTTTATTTAATATCCAATTACTCATTAGTTTTATGTACTTATTAAAAATTTTAGCATGAGATGCTTAATGTGATTTTTAATACTATAACTAATTATAGATTTTTGTATACTTTTTATCACAGAATCCTTTTTTTTGTTTGAGTTTTTAAATATAATTTTACTTCATTAAGAAACTTTTTTTTGACAAATTTTGGACTAGAACTAATGTCAAAATTATGAAAAAATTAATATCCTGTAATAAGAAAAAAAACAAGAAGTAAAATGCAATTAAATACACTCTTTGACATAAAAATTAATGTGCCTTCTTAAACTATCTAGAATCTTCAATTTTAGTATGCAAATACATCTGAAATAGACATACAATTGATAACAGTTTCACTACCTATAAATAGTCAGATCATTTGTAAATTTTACTGAAATTTTCAAAACACAATTTATATTAAAGCCATCAGATTCTAACTATACAATCAAGATTATCTGTGTCATCCCATACCAAGATATTTTACAGAGACGGTACTCCATTCTTGTTTCTCCTTATACTGTGTGTCATTGACTAGATAGCATAAGCAACATTGTCTGCACTGGTGATCTCGCTGACATATAAGAAACTGAATGGTATTGCATTGTGTTTAGTGATGAATCTTATTTTAGATGACCATCATATGAAAGAAAGAAAGAAATCCAAACTATGATCTGTTATGGATTTGCACACTTCCACAATTCCTAGTGTTATTGTGTGAGGAGTGATTTTCTATAATCTCCTCTTTTGATCAGAGGATCTTTATCAGTTCAGCAATACATTTAGGAGATCCTGCAACCTGCTGTATTGCCTTTCATGGAACATCTTCAATGGACAAGTTTCTAGCAAGACAATGCTTTCCCATATACTGCTGTGTTTCCCAAAAATGCCTTTGTCATGTGTAAACTTTTTGTTGGCTCTTAATATCTCAAGATTTTCTTTCCATTTAGCATGTCTGAAATATTCTTAGATATCTGTTGAAGCCATCGTAAAAATTTCAACATTTTGGGCAGTAGTTGTAACAAACTTTGGAAAATCTGCCACAGAAAAATATCCAAGCTTTTTTTGATTCCAAAACTTAGCTTTCCATACAGAATTTAGAACAATTTGTTCTAAGTTCTACATGAAGTGTTGATGGTGGACCAAATAAATCTGAAACATTACATTTCAAATAAGTCTGTTGGTTTCCTTAACATAGCAGTTTATTGAATTTTGTAATTATTATTTCATAGTAACTAATTTCAAGGAAAAATGATAATTTAAAAGCATTTAGCAATAAATTATTCATTATAAATTATATTAATAAAGATAAATTACTTTTTCACAGGAAAATGTCTAATATGTTTTAAAGGACTTATTTTTAAGATTCCTCTTCAAAATAAATGTATAGAAGAACACTTTCTCTTGAAGTTTAATCATATAATATATATATGATTATTCAACTTAAAGAGAAATAATCCATACAATACATGATGTTTATGAAACAGTAAATAATATTTTTTTGCTTCTCTAAAGCATATGTATTTTCTCGTGCAAAAATATTAAGTTCTGAAACTAAATTTGAAAATATTTATATGAAATTAAAAAATATTTCTTGTTTAAATCTAGACATAAAATTTTTTTTATAATATTCCTAATCAAAATTCTTTATTAATCCTTAATCTTCTCAAACTATTTCTTTTCTAAATTTTCTTAATTTAGTTTATATAAAATTTAATTTGCATGAACTAAATCTTATAAAAATCAAATTGGTGTGGGAAGATTTTATTTTTTTATTCTTAACATTAGAAGTCTATATCTGATTAGGAATATTTCTCATTAATTTGCTCAAAAATTTATTTTCTGCAGATAAAAAAATTGACCAATTGTTTAAATAACCTATAACAGTCAGTAAAGTGACATAATTCTAAAAAAATAATTGCTAAATTTATAATTTTTTTAATAAAAGATATATTTGAAATCTTTTATTGATTGGTCAATTTTCTTCCTTTTGTTTTAATAAAATTAAACTTTCTTTTCTATACTACCAACTTAATATTTCTATAGCAATGAAGCCAACATCATCATGGCTTACTATGTTTGCAGCCTTTACTGCTGGTGGTAAGTGAGGTATAATTTATTTTAATAGATCTATGGAATGTGTGTCACTATGAAGTTTGTCGATTGTTATACAATAATTTTTGTGTTAATGTTTTATTATTACAATGTATAATTTCCTTTTCCTTAAATATTTACATTCTAATTTTAATTTAATATACTGTATAAGTTATCGTCTTTTTAATTAAGGCTATTATTATTAGAAGATATTTATATTTTTGTTGTGTTGTAAATATTAGAAAATATATGAACATTATCTTATCATTAATATCCAGACATAGGTTGATTTGCAATCAATTTTTATTTACTAGAAAATTGATAATAAAAGTTAAAACTTTTAGCTTCTTTTCCAAATTTTATGAGGGAGCATTGAAGGCCACAAACTAATTTTGAATCTTCTTATCCAAAGTATTGTACTACTAAAAATTTTTAATAAAAAAATTTTGATGCAATAAATAAAACTGAAATATATAAATGCAGAAATAAATCATTTAATCCTTTTAACATCCACTGATTTTTCACTGAATTAACTAAAACTACCATTCAAAATTATTTGTTATGGTATTTTTTAAAATTAATGAAACTTTTTAACTAATTAAAGTTTCGTATTTTTTTACATTTTAGTGAGAAATAAGTGTTACAGTGATTAAAAATAAAATAAGATTAGAAAATAAAACATTTTTTTTACTTTTCCTTCAAGCAATTATTTGTTAGTTTTGTAAACTTAAATTTAATATTAGCTATTTTTTGATAATCAATTTTATAAATTTTGAAATTTCTGTGAGACAAAGTTTCCAGATGAGCACCTGATGCATCCATTTGAGAATCTACCATTGCCTCTATTAGAAACTCTAATCTATATGATATATTATCCTCCGTTTTCTGTATATATCCTATGAAATTTTTTATTATTTGTTCTTGAAAGCAATATCTTCAAGCATTCTCTATTCCTGTACATTTTATGATAAATTTTTTCCAAAAGTTTTTATGGGATTAAGATCTGGATTCTAGATGAGCTAATCTATCTATTTATTTGTATCTTCTAAATAATTCATTGTACAGTACATGAGCAATGTAATATAAATGATCCTGTCTATAAAGGTATTAATTCATTCTCAAAATGCTGCCACATTATAATAGCTTGTAATTATCTAAAATATTCATATAGATTATAGTACGGCCATACCCCAGGTTACATACAACTACTATTTAATGAAATGCATTATGTATTATAAATTGCCATTTCCTATGTATTGTTTTTTATTTAAAGAAAGCTACACCCCATGGAAAGTTTTTGAGCAATGACCAATATAGTATTATACCCCAGTATTCCACAGAGGATGTCCTTATTAAATTGTGTGATACTCTACAGTAAGGAAAGAAGAGTTAATATCTGTATTAATGTTTTTAGATATCAGTTGAAAAGATGTATATTGTCCAGGAGATCCTACAGATTATTTGGATGCCAAAAATTGCTAGTTCATTTAGTTCATGAATAAATGTTATCCAGGGTGCACCATGAGGAGATGAACTAGCTTTACATCCTGATATATATCAATCTCACTGCAGCATGGCTTACTTTATAAGCTGCTTCAAGTGATGCCTTGCTTGAAAGTGGTTAATTAAGTTGATTTATGAGATGTTAAATAACCAACCCTTTCAAGTTATCCTAGGAAATTCAAGAAGATAAGAAAACTAAATAATGCTTACCTCAGAGATCTGCCATGGCACCACTGCTCTTTAGTTTTTACATAGCTGACTTGCCTCAAACAAATGCAAGGAAATTTGGATATGTTGATGATTGGGTGATTGCCATGAGACATAAAGACTATATGATAACTGAGAAGACCCTGACACAAGATTTATTTCAACTGATATCTTTATTTTTTCCGCTAGACTTATTACACCATCTAATGGTGTAATAAGTCTAGCAGAAAAGAAAGGCTGTCATAGAGCTCATAAATTGAATTGAGGCTGTGTTTTCATCTTAATAACAAACTGGCAAATAAAGAACTAAATATTTATTTTGAAAACAATCTACTGAAATACAGTAAGAACCCGAAATATCTTGGTGTCACTTTGGACAGAACTCTATCATTTAAAACACATCTGATGAGTCTTGCTGCCAAAGTCAATACTAGAAACAACATCCTCCAAAAGATTTGTGGAACTACATGGGGCTCTTCAGCATCTACCTTACGGATTTCTGCTCTTGGTTTGGTTCTTTCTGCATCAGAATACTGTGCACTGGTTTGGATGAACAGTGCTCACATTAAAAACTAGACATCCAATTAAACCATACCTTGTGCATCATAACAGTTATTATTAAATCTACTACTATTGATTGGTTACTTATTTTGAGTCATATCCCCCACCTGTACTCTGGAGGAATGACACTCTGCTCAAGGTATATAGGAAAATACTGAGCAATCCAGTATTTCTGATTCACCAGGATATTGATGACCTCAACATAAATAGACTTAGATCGAGACATCCCCTTCTCTTAAGAGCTAAGTCCATGAATTCCAGCAATTTCAACCTTATAGAATCTTGGAAAAAGCTATGGGCTGATGTCTATAATGGATAAGTAAACAACTCCCCTGTATTACAAAGCAACCACCTGGCTTTGAATTACCCAGAAATTCTTGGAGTGTGTTGAATAGGATTCAGACAAGACATGGGATATGCAGAGACAATCTTTTTAAATGGAGAAAGGTTGCATCCCCATATTGTGATTGTGGTGCAGAAAGACAGACCATATTTTGGAAGATTGTCCAATGAGATCCTATCCAAGAGAACTGAGTGATTTCCTGGTTGTGACTGAAAGTGCTTTAAACTACTGTACGTTTTTTATTTGGATTTACATTTGTGATTTGTGTTCTTTTTGCTTTCTATCCTGTTTACTAACTAGATGTGTAGCCATATGCTAAATAAATAAATATAGATATCAAAGGTGCATTTGACAATGCATGGTGGCCCTCAATTTTAAAACTTGTCAGAGAGATAAATATTCTAGAATGTTCTACAATATTCCATATGCTTTCAAATTATAGTACACACAGCATAATTAAAATTATTGGCTGTTAGCTAGAGCCTGCGATATTTTGTGCAGGTTTATTCTGGACGTCCATTAGAAGCTGAAGATGTAATAATTAAAATGTTTGTTAGTTATTGTTATAGATTCAAATAAAATAGTTTTGTTCTGTTGTACATATTTGTCAGATGTTAGATCAAAAATGATAATTTGTTATTCTAATGCATAATTTTTCTATTTGTTACAAAAAATGCTTCTTATATTCAGATAAGCAATGACCAACATTAAGTATATTGGTTAGTTGCTTATGTTAGTTGTATGCAGGGGCAGATCTACATAGGGACTAATAGGGCTTAAGCCCTGGGCTCCCAAGTGTCAAGGGCCCACAAAAATTGAATTATCAACATAAGTTTTTAATACTTTTTCATTAACAATGATCACTTATCATTAAAAAATAGTTAATATTAATAATATAATAATAATGATAATTTATAGTATTATTTGTTTATTGTAATAATTCTTAATCTAACAAAAAATGGGGCCCATTGGACTTCAATAATCCCTAGGCCCCAAAAATCCTAGATTTGCCCCTGGTTGTATCTCTTCAATAATTTAACTTGTGCTTTTTTTTTTTTTTTTTTTTATGCATTATATCAATGTGACATTTTCCGTAGTTGCTTCTCAAAGGTTTGTTTGTGCTGTTGTAACAATTATTGATATTTGGAATAATTATCTTTTGCAATCCTTTTGTCATATTTTTCCAGTAATGATAATTTGAAGTGTTTCATTTACAAATAGCATCACTGTTCAGTGATCTTTAGTTCTGTAAAGTTATCAGAATACCTTAGTAAGGTATTTTGTAGTCTATTATTATTCCACATTGGAATTTGATAATTTCATTTGATTGAGGTATTTAATACTCGTCTAATTATGCTGCACGTAATTCTCGGGTAAAACACAATCAACAGCCGATAAAGATACGTCTGGATATAAACGATAAGAGATTGTATAATAATGTATAAATTATGTAGTTGCATATTAGAAGACTAATATAAATAATAAATCTTCATAAAAGTATAAGTGCTTGTTGATCTGTTGCTAATTTTTTTAAATATAAATTTTTGTTATTAATTTTATAATTTTATAATTTCAATAATAAAATGCATGAATGTATTCTTTTTATATGTTTCATAAATTCAATATATTTTTGCTTATTCATCTTAATGAAAACTAAATTAATAATTGCACAGAATGGCTTGGAGAGAAACACTGTTTAATAATAAAAACTTCCATTCTCATTAATATTTTGATACAATAAAATTAAAAATCAGAGAATGATTATGAAATAATTATACATTTCAAATATAGCAATTTTTTTTTTGATAATTTAAATTACTTATTTTTAAAAACTTTTAATATATTTTTGCTTTTTTATTGATATTAAACCAGAATATGTTTTAATATGAAATTAAGTTTTTTCAATTATTTATTTCATAATATTGTTCCATATTAGTTGAGTGTAAGAATTCATTTTAATATCATTCTATTAATAAAACAGACATAAAACATACAAAAATAATATTTTAAAAGAATATTTATGTAAGAATAAACAAACAGATGCAAAGATTAAAACAGATTATGGATTTTTATCACGACTGCTATTAAAAAATTGAATTATTGATTGATTGTTGTTGATACAAAGTACAAACACACAAATATAATCAGCTCCAGTTTTGATTTTATAGTAAGGTGACCAGACATTTCACTTTTGGTGGGACAGTCCCAATTTTTAACAATTTGTCCTGCGACATTTTAAAAAAGTCCCAAGTTTTGGAAAGATTAAGTTTTTGTCGATTATGTTTAAGATTCATAAAGATCATTTTGTATTATGCTTATCACTACCAAAGTGTGCGCAAGCATCAAAAATAAAGAATGCTGTGCCAACAAAACCCTTTGTGTTTGTGGCAAAGACCGACAGAAAATAGTTTGGGGTGTGCAGCTGCAGCAACAGAGCAGCACTGCGTTGCTGTCCAAATGAGTGAACATTTTGATCATTGCATGTTACGAGGTGCAGAGCTCTCATCTGTCACATTTCATCTTAAAATTTCAGTGTCAAGAGCAGTTAGAAAATAATTTTCTTCTGTTAATCATCTGTAATAGTATAAGTCAGAAAAACAAGGTGTTGCCATGCAAATTTCATGAATCATGTCAAAAAGTTCTATAGTAACTGCTTAGATTATTTAGAAGAGTGGATGGTACATTACAATGACATTGAACGTTTTCATTGGGTTATATTAAAACAAGAACTTAATTGGGAAGATGTACAAAAATCATTCAATCATATTAGTCAACAGTTTCCAGATAGTAATATTTCTGAAAATGATCTTTTTAATGAGGTATCATATTGATAAGGAAAAAGTTAAATTTTGGGCATCACCAAAAATCTCAACAGAGAATAAATGGTTAGAAATATTTCATCATTTTGAAAGAAAGTATGTTCCATATAATAATGCATTAAAAACTGGAATACGCCCTGTCCAGGAACTAATGTTGCAACTGAACGCGTTTTTATACTGTAAATAAAATGTGGACATTTGATAAATTACAATTAAGTGTTGAGATTTTAAAAGCCATATTACATGTGATATATAATTTAACAAATTCTTGCAAAAAATTTCATGACATTTTAAACAATGACAGCAATCCACTAAAAAAAATTACAATTAAGTGTTGAGACTTTGAAAGCCATATTANGACATTGAACGTTTTCATTGGGTTATATTAAAACAAGAACTTAATTGGGAAGATGTACAAAAATCATTCAATCATATTAGTCAACAGTTTCCAGATAGTAATATTTCTGAAAATGATCTTTTTAATGAGGTATCATATTGATAAGGAAAAAGTTAAATTTTGGGCATCACCAAAAATCTCAACAGAGAATAAATGGTTAGAAATATTTCATCATTTTGAAAGAAAGTATGTTCCATATAATAATGCATTAAAAACTGGAATACGCCCTGTCCAGGAACTAATGTTGCAACTGAACGCGTTTTTATACTGTAAATAAAATGTGGACATTTGATAAATTACAATTAAGTGTTGAGATTTTAAAAGCCATATTACATGTGATATATAATTTAACAAATTCTTGCAAAAAATTTCATGACATTTTAAACAATGACAGCAATCCACTAAAAAAAATTCACTCAACTGAGAAATATGTGAAAGAATAAACAGTTTTTAAAGATTTATAATACTATATACAGTATATTTATTATATTTGTAAATTTTACATATGTTGAAATTTTAAAAAATATAATACAATACAATTTTTGCATTCTTTGATAATAAAATTTATTGCTTTAGAACAATTTTTTTTTCAACAAGACAACCACTTCCCTCCCCCTATCAATTTTTGTCCTGTTTCACCAATGTTAAGATCTGGTCACCTTATTTTATACATATGTGTAATCTGCATTGCAATCAGTTGAATGATGTAAAATTAAGTTCAATATATTTAGTATAGACTATTTACAAGAAATGCTGAGATTTGGCTTGAATTTGAATCTGGGTCAGGAAGTCTTGAATACACTTTTAAGGTCAGATGAATGAAATCTGCTTGCAGACCTTTATCTAATGTGAAAAGTGAATAAACTGACTAAAGAGAATTAAAAACAAAATCAAGCAAGTTGCTATGATTTAGTTTAAGTTAAACGAAATGCATATATGAAGTTTTATGTTTGTTCATAGAATGATATATATTTTTTTGAATTAAAAAATTGTAACAGTGTAAAGAAAGAGCATGGGGATAAGGAAGCCAGCTTTGTTGACTGGCACTCTGCATGAACTATCAGGTATTGGATAGTGGAGGGTAAAGGCTAAGCCTTTGCCTTCTCTCCCACTTCCAACTGGTAAATATCCTATAAATAGTCCTGTGTATAATAATCTACGATTTCATAATACATTAATGTTTGATATTGTATTACAGTATCTACTATACACAATGTGGTGTGTATAGTAAATAATATAAAATATTCATTTCTAATAATAAATTGATGAAGTATATGCAATAAATTTATATTCTTGATCGAATTAAAGTAGTTTATCCGGTTAGAAGCAAATCGATACATATTCAGTTCTAGGATCGATATAAAAGACACAATTAAAACAGAAATTACAGGTGAAATGTATGAAAAATCCCAAGAGATTTCATAATCCACACGTAATCAAGTACTTACAACGAATTTTATTAGCCAAAGTCAAAATTTCCTACTTGGAAAATCGTGAAGATTGCTTCTCACGTATGGTAATTATTTTGTCTATAAAAGGAAGAATTCATTTATAAATCATAAGATTGCTCTCTCTTAAGAGACACCATTAAGTTTTCTTGAATATTTAATAAATTTGAAAACGGCAAAATAATTGGATTAAATAAAGAATCACGTATCGTATGCATGGTTGAACATAATCAAGAATTNAAAAAAAAAAAAAAAAAAAAAAAAAAAAGAGAGAGAGAGAGAGAAAATTAAAATAATGATTTTGATAAAATAAAAAGAATTAAGCACAAAGGAATTTCTTTAGATTTATTTACTCTGTATTTATTTTAATAATAATAAAATTTACAGATAAAAGAACAAAATTTTTAAATTTAAATCTAGAAATATAAAAAATTAAATTACGAAAGTTATTAGTTGTATTTAGAAGAAAAGTTATCAATTACAGCTCTCCCTTAATAGTCCGACAGGTATGAGACCAAAGGGGTGTTGGATTACCAAAAGTGTCAGGAAATAATTACATATTTTGCATTGTTTTGCTAGCAGTAGCTTACAATATTCCCTACTCCAACTGTTCAAACAGAACTGCACACAGAAAACACACGAAATGTGTGTCATCGTGTAAGAATTGGATGGGGAGATTCACGTCGCGACATGCTTCTATGCAAGCAGACACGTAACGGGGACAGGTACCTTGATGGGTAGGGAGGTGCATTGGATTACTGAGCATGTCGGATTAAAAAACGTTGGACTATCAAGGGAGAGCTGTAATTAAAATCAAAATTTTTAAGTTTAAAATTTTAATTAGTTTTATATTGAAATTTTATAATTGTTAGTCAAAATGTCATCATTTGTTTGATAATAAAAAATTAAAAAAAACTATAAAAGGCTTTAACAGTTTTAAAATACATAATTAATATTTACATATTTTACTATTTATTTTATGTAGTAGACAAAAACATGATATTTATTATAATTATAATATGACGGTTCATTTTTTTAATAATTATTTTATTTCATATTAAACTTCATATGTTGTTTACAGTTTATAAATGATTAAAATTTTACTACATTTCTCCTCCTTATTTAATTATTTCTTATGAATAAAATGTTAATGATTGAATAATTTTTGTATGTAATTGTATCTTATTTTCTGCTATTGCAACATACGATTAACTAATCATATTTTATTTCTTTTCAGGTTTAACAATGTTAGTTCCATATCTTCTTACAACAAGATCAGTTTGGAGTGGATGTAAACTAAGAGTGTTTTCACTTGCAAATAAAAAAGATGAATTAGACCGTGAACAAAGAAAGTATGAACCAATTGCATTTTCAATTTATTATTTTACAAAAATTATGTAAAAGTACAATAGAAAAACATTATTTTTATAAAACAAATACTTTCCAATTAGCATAATTTCCATTACATAAAACAGAACGAAGGATAATGTTGCATTTAATTTAATCTTCTTTCATTGATTGATTTGATGTTTGTTACACATAATATATGTTGATGTATGTTAAGCATGGTGTCTGCCATTGTCAGTGTTTTTGTGTCAGCTTCATAGAGACTGATGAAATGGCACTGATAGCATTACACATAAATTATTGATAATTTTAAATGTTTTGCAAGTTATTAAAAATGGAGAAACAAAAGATTTTGCAAAAAAAAAAGAATTTTAAAATAATGTAGGAATATCTTTTTCTGTCACTCCAAAATATATTTGATATGTTATGGAAATGTTGATATTTAACTAGAAGATTCCACTATCAAAAAGACAAGATAAAGTAGAAGTTCATTAATACAGCACCTATGAGTGTTCAAAGTGGTACCAGGTTATTGAATATGTCAGATTACTGAACATTTTTGTTTTTGCAAAATTTATTAAATTTTGTGAGAAAAATTTAATTATCAAATTAAAGTTAAATTGATAAATTTGTATGCAATCTGAACATTGCAGACATTGCTGTATTTTTTGTACCAACACATGCTGTTGTATGCTTTTAATTTTGTTTTTGTTTTTGCATATGCTCTTTAATCTGTCCGAAGATGATTTAATACATTATTGATTGAAAAACTTGCAAAAATGTTAATGAACAATGTGTTACATAAATTTTTCTTAAACAATCAAAAGTTTTGATAGATTAAGCTAGAATCTTCTCTTATTTCTGTTCTGATAACCATTAAGCCTTGAATTTCTCGGTAATTTACTTTTTATTTAAGTTAATTAAGAAAAATTAAATGTTTAAATTATGTTTTCAGTATGGCAGCCCTATTAAGTAAATTTCGTATTGATTATTCTGATGTGATGGTTGTTCCTGATGTTGTGAAACCTCCACAAGAGTCCAGGTAAAATATTTATTACTTATTACAGAAATTTGGATAATTATTAACAAAACTTGCAGTTGTTTTATATATATGTATATTTTACATAAATAAAAACTAGACAATAAGAGTTTGTATCTACACAAAAACATTGATATATCACATACTGGATAAAATAGCAAAAACAAATGCATAAACTTTTAAAATTAATCATTAATTTTTTATAAACAAATGTTTTTAGTTATATTAGTAGCCATCTTTGGCTCAAAGGTTTTCAAGAATAAAACCATCACATCTTATAGAATAAATATAAATTCAAAATAATAAAATATGATAAATATAATAATTTTATATTATATTAATAGAATAAATATAATGAATTTATATTTATTTTATAAGTTGTGATGGTTTTATTTTGAAACATCCATATTTGAACTTGAAGTTGGTTACTAATATAGCTGAATAAGCTCATTCATTAAAAATTTATGCAGGATTTTAAAGATTTATGAATTTGCTTCTTACAAATACATTATTTAATCATTGTAATATTTTAAACAAGTCTATAAACAAGTAGTGCAAAATGAATAAAATAAAAAGGAAGGCAAATCATTTGATATTATCATCTTAATAACAGCAGTTACAGAAAATTCATATTTATTTATTTAGAACAAATTATAGGCAAAAATTATTTATTGATTCATTTATTTATTAGTAAAAAAGAATTTGAAGCATTGATCAGCAAATGGAGAGAGAAAGAAGAAAGTGATGAACATAATCCAGCAGTCATTACAGATGCTGAATTAATAGCATTAAAAGATAAGGTATTATTAACTTTAAAAATTATTTATTTTTAAACTATAATTTACATTTTTTATGTCAATATTCTTTATTATATATATTTTTTAATTGCTATTTACTTACATTACGAATTTGAATACACTATAGAATAAGCTTCTTAACCATTAAATTTCAAAAGAAGGAAAAGAAGCAAATTTTTATAAAATCTTAAATGAGTAGTTATTTATTGTGACATCATCACAATGCCTGGTTGCAATTTTTAATTATATCTTTAATTTATTTAATTTAAAATATAAATTTTGATTTTAGTGGTATCTTGTCCCTATACATCATACTTTACCTGTTAAAAACAGAGTATGTGGCATTAATCTAACTCTGTCTTGGAGAAAATATTTGAATTGAAATAATGTAACTTATGGTCCAAAATGCAAGTTCATATATTGTCAATCAAGGCCTTCTGCCCATAAGCTTTCCATATCTGGGTCTCAACTTTCATCTATCTAATTCTGTTCTTGAGATTAAAGAGGGAAAGACAGACAGATGCCAGTGAGAATTTATAAGTCTGCAATTTGAAAATTATAGCCTAACAACATAACAGATGTCAAAAATTAAAAAACAAGCACGAACTAGAATTAGGCTGATTATATTTTATATATAACCATACATTTTGAAAATTGTCAAATATAATTTCTTATATTTATTTACTTTTTTTGATAATATGAAACAATAATTTTCCTATAAATTTTATTTATGTTAAAAATTTTTATTTTAGACAAACAGACATATTCGTTTAAGAGAAATTGTTTTGAAGTATTCCAAAGATGCAACTTTAATTGTTATGTAAGTAATTTATAATTACATTTATTGAAAATAAATATTTCATTTTAAAGATAGGCAATCTTTTTAAATTATACAGAATATTCATTATAAATGACATTAATTTTATACAAAAATTTCCGAAAATTTTTGCATAAAATTAATATAGGAATGAAGTAAATTTAAATTCAAATTTTTATACATACTCAAACCTTGATTTAGCACTGTCATATGTTTACCTCTGAAATTAGCACTGAATTGAATGTAACACTAAACTAAAGTACCTCAAACAATAAGAATTATACAATATATAATAATAAAGTCTACATACAAATTTGAGTTTGAGACTTTGAAAGTTGTGTGATTTGGTGATGTTATTCGAAATGCAAAATCATATTTTTATTTAAATCCTAGATACTAAAGGATTCTCAATTTAATATTTATTGAGATCTATTCACAAGTATTTGTTGGCACTATGTAGGAGGATACTATATCATGATTCAACTCTCTATGTCAGATTATATGAAGTCTATAAATAAACATTATTGTTTGAAACATGAATTTCCCAACCTTATTGATAATGGTTAGTTAGCTCTGAGTTTTTAATCAATTTTGACAAAAATTCAACAACACTGTTATTGTATTTCTTGATTCTCTCTTCCATACTTTGAAGTGCTGTCTATATAAATTTATTTAGAGCAAATTCATAATGATTATAGATATGATGTAATGGTGTTTATAAGAATATCTGAAGCACTTTAATTTTTGATAGAAGTAGTATAGTATTAGATAGTAGAAGTTTATTTTTAATTAGTCAATAAGTATTCATCATTTCCTGATCATTGATAACTTTATATTGTTCTTAATTACATATTTTCTAGTAGCTTTTTGGTTTCTTGATCAATAATTGTTACTGTAGAAGGTTTAATTTGCATTCTTTCTTCTTGATGATAGTTTCGTTCTTTTGAGTGTTAAGATTAAGAAATAGTCAAAGCAAAAACTTTATTTTTTTATTAGTGTTAGCTCTTTTTTTTTCTTTTTTTCAGTGATAATAGCTTTACTTAGATATCTTCTTTAAATATTATTTATTTTTATGTAACGGTCATCTAAAGCAACATTATTACATAGGAATGTTAATATGTTAGTAATTTTCCTGTAGATTTTGATCATAAAACAGTGTGAAAATCCTCATAATTTGAATGTTTTATCACTAAGTTGATCTAATTCAAACTTTCTTTTACTGTATTATTGTTAATTTTTTAAATGAGTTTAATATATTTATTTCATCCTTACCATAATACAAGTATATCAACTACATAACTAAATTGTATTATATCCTACAGCATATTATATAGGATGTTCATAAAGTTCCCAAACTCAAACTTTTAAAGTTTATTGTGTCTATTAGGATAAACATACAAATGTGGTAATTTATGCATAAGAAATGTAAATAATGGTGAATACTTTATCACATCATAACAGGTGCTGAAAATGTCCTCCTCTTTCTGAAAACACAAGTTGACCACAACTGCACATTTTGTGAGATATGCATCACATTTTCAGGTGTGATTGTCTAAATAACTTCTGCAATGTTATTTTTCAGTTGGTCTAGGGCTGGGGTTCCCAATTTTTTCATTATTTCAAAACTTTGCCGCAGGCACATGTAAATAGCTACATGTGCCCATGGAGCTATTTACATGTGCCTGCGGCAAAGTTTTGAAATAATGAAAAAATTAAATGTTAAAAATAAAGAAAATAAAAAGTTACCTAGTTTTAAAATCTTGCTAGATGTAGTGAGAAATTCACTAAATTGACTACACTTGAACTACATTGACCATTGTCTAATTTATCACGCTTATTATAATCATGTCTCCACGTCATCTTTAATGTATTAGTAGTGTATGGTATTAGTTGTAAACTCATACTGTTGTCATCACATGCTATCGTTGTGTTGTGTTTTTTTTGTATATAAACATTTTACCTCAAAATCAGTAATCCAAGTGATAAACAATGAACCTATCATTTTAACAAAGATTGGGAAGACGACTACTTTGTTATCGAAAGTAACGAAAAATGTATTTACTTAATATGCAACAGATTGTGTTAGTGGCAAAAAAACACAATGTTGAATGTCATTACAAAACCAATCACAGTACTGAGGTTAGTTATCCGCCTAAATCTGAGTTAAGAAAAAGAAAACTTAACTAAAATCAGGATTATCTACCTAGCAAGTATTTTTTACCAGCCATTTAAATAAAAATAAAAATACCACTATTGCTTCCTTTAAAATTTCTCATTTATTGGCAAAACGAAAAAAAAACATGTTTAGAAAATGAACTATTGATATTTTAAAGAAGCATTTCTCGTTGGAGGCAATTCATTATTTGAAGGATTTTCTAATAAGCGTGAAGTTATCAAACAATACAAGTACAAGAAGAATCCAGGTGATTTCAACAGATTTACAAAGTCAGTTAAAAAATTATTTGGAAGAATGTGAGTATTTCTCATTACAATTAGACGAGTCAACAGATATATCAGATACAGTGCAATTGGCAGTAATGAAAACAATGGTGTTCAGTGATTTTAGTGTGAAAGAAGAAGTATTAAAGTTACTATCAATGCAAGAGCGAACAAGGGGTGAAGATATTTATATCATCTTTAAAAATTACTCAACAGAAATTAATATGCCTTTAAACAAGTTATCAGCAGTAATTACTAGGGTTTCTCAACCGGGATCACGGGATCCTGGTTGTTTTTTTAACCCGGGAAATTTTTCTTATCCCGGGAAATCCCGCAAATTTCTTAAAAATTCACTTTTTTTCTTATTTTGTGTTAAGGTTAAGGAATTTTGCAAATAGAAAACATAATTAACTCATTCACTGTCAGAATACATTTGTATTTATTAATTTTAAACCTACCTATTAGTTTTTTTTAATTTTTGCTCGTTATAACATGTCACAAATGTTTAATAATCAATATATAGCTTACTTGTGGCAGGACTATAAAAATTCTTTACTTGTCGGAACCTGTAATATCTGGAATAATTGTGCTTACGCTGTCTTGAGTTTTAACCATGCCCAGTAGCTTCAATAAATGCCTGACGCCAGATTGTGCAAATTGGGCAAGGATACAAACGAGTACAAAGTCTGCAAGTATGAAGTTTTTCTTCATAAACCTGATTATTAAAGCCAAATGAATTGCCGAATTATCGAGCTCTAAGCTTGATGCCGCTATTAAAGCAGCCAAGGTAGACAAATCAAGAATACTAGAGAGCGAAAGAAGTACTACAATCTCGAAAACGAACTCGAAATCTTCCAGGCTACAGGTGAAAAAACACATAATATCTGTCTTCTCTTAAATGCATTAAACACTATTCCAATCACATCAATTGAATCGGAAAGGGCATTCTCGGTGGCAAGACTTTTCATTACTAAAATAAGAATTAGAGTGAGTTATCGGAGTATTGACCATCTTTGCTTTTTAAAATCTTATAAAAGTTTGCAATATTTTGTATTATATTTTATTTAAAAAACGAAAATTACCTTCTAAATTAGAAGTTCATTTTTTTTAATTTTTAACTCAATTCAAAACATTTTTTTTTGTTGTTGTTGTATGCAGTTTCCAGCAAACTTTAATTAATTTTTTTCTATTTGTGAAAATTTCTACGTTATTTAAAGGTAATTTTTATTATAGGCCTATAGACCTTACACAGCATTATTAATATGATTTTGGAGGTTACAGAACTTTAAAATTACTTTAAAAAATGGAAAATAATTATATCATTTGATTTCAAGATATTTTGTATACCTTAAAAATAATTAATTCTATCCCGGGATTTCCCGGGATCCCGGGAAACAGTTCACTTTTATCCCGGAATCCCGGGACAAGCAAAAGACCGGGAAATGAGAAACCCTAGTAATTACTGATGTGCACCAGCAATGGTGGGAAATCCTATATCACACAGATTATTTAAAGCCCTTGTAGAAAAGAATGAATCTTTCCAAGCTGACCTTGGTTAAATAGCAAAGCACTTGGCTGATTTTTTGATCTTTTGGAAGAGATTAAAAAATTCCTTATTTCAAAAGGTCAAACTTTTGACCTTTTGAAATAAGGTCAAATAACCTACAATGGTTGATGGCCTTGGCTTTTTAACTGACATATGTGAAAAATTGAGCAGTTTAAACCTGGATCTCCAGGAAAAATTTAACACTTAGCTGAAATGATTAGCTCTATAAAAGCATTCAAAGCCAAAATACAGTTTTGGATAAATAATTTGTCAAAAAATTCTCTTGTACACTTTCTAAGGATGAAAAAAGTGACTGATGAAAATAATTTTGACCTAACATTATTTATTACTCATCCAAAAAACTTTTTGGAATAGTTTGAAAGTAAATTCCAGAAATTTACCATTATCAAACCTGTGGCTACAATTTTTGTAAATCCTTTTATTACTCAAGTAGACATTATTGAAACTTTACAAATCAACTACATTATTGAAACTGCTAAATCTATAGCAGAACTTAATTAATATGCATCTATGTCCTTAATTTAATCAAAATTATTCTTTCAATCACTATATCAGTGTATTTCTATTAATAGGACTTATCATACTGTACAGGTAATTTTCTGTACAGGTAATTACCTGTACAGGTAATTGAAAATAAAACAATTTTAATCTGTGTAACTGTGAGGCTGTAATCTTATACACCAGTGTGATAAGTCCTATTAATAGAAATACACTGATATAGTGATTGAAAGAATAATTTATAGCAGAACTTCTTTAAGAAGAAGCATCAATAATTGAAGAAGAGATTTTAGATTTTCAAAATGATATCATATTAAAATCTCACAATATGGATGAAAACTTTTGGAATTTAGTTGATCATAAAAAGTATTATCTTTTGAAAAAAAGAGCCTTCAAAATCAAATCCTGTTTTGGTTCCACATATTTATGCAAATCTTTATTTTCCACCATGAATTTTATAAAATCAAAATTCAAATCTCAACTTATTAATTAATGCCAACATTGAAGATTGTTTACGATTGGGATTATCATCTTACACTCCCACTGTGAGAAATTAGCAAATGAAATGCAGTGTCAAAGATCACACTAATTCAGCTTTTATAATAAATATATAATATGTTATAGTAAATATATGTTACAAAATGCATGTTATAATAAAGCACGTAATTAATTTTTTAAAATATCTGATTTGTGCCTGCCACTAGTTTTTGCAATCTTGAATGCGTCCGTGCCACAAAAAGGTTGGGAACCCCTAGTTTAGGGTAAATGGATTCTGTATGCTTTGTCCTTCAAAAATCTCCACTGAAAGAAACCAAGATATCAAATCTGGAGATTTTGTGGCCAAATTTTGGGAAATTGTGCCATCTTCACAGCATTGCTGTCATTTCCACGGTGGTGTGGCATGTAAGACCATCCTGCTGAAACCAGCTGGTGTACAAAACCACACCATGTTGTCATTCATTTGCCTGAAATAATTTTTTAAAAGTTTGAGTTAGAGAACCCTGTATAATATGTTATAATACTACTAATATTGAAGTTAAAATTATTTGAAATTTACATTTTTACTTTTGAGTAGAAAAAGTAAATACTGATTTTGCTCTGATCTAAAAATATTAAATTGATTCTTTTCTCTAAGTATAAAAATTCCTGATCCATCACTGAACATAAATACATTTAATGTTTTATGAATGTTAATTATATAATTAATTATGATATTGAACCTATCTAGCTTTGTGTTTATCTATATTCATTTACCATTATTTACCTAACAGTAATTAATGGTTCCCAATATATGAAATTGTAGATTGAAAGTATTTCTTGTTCCTTTTTGGCTAAGATTTTTGATTAAGGGATAAAAGATTCTTCTCTATTCACCAATAGCCTGTAGCTATTCCTATAAATCCAAATGAAATAGATTTGGTGATGATGCTGATGAAATTTAATTATTTTTAAATGCCATTTTTTTATTTATTTTTTCACAGGACACTGCCGATGCCACGAAAAGGAACGTGTTCTGCACCATTATATATGGCATGGTTAGAGACACTCACAAAAAATATGCCTCCTTTCTTATTAATACGAGGGAATCAAACAAGTGTTCTCACGTTTTATTCCTGAAAGAAATGTGAATATATAGTTTTTTATTTAAATATAATTAAAATCACAATAAGGCAAATGGCATTTTTTTTATTGACGTTGCAAATAGTTTTGTAAAATGTAAAATAAGTAATGAAGTGTGAGATCTTTAGCTTATCAAATAGTTGATTTAAATTACAAAATATTATTAAAATTGTGAAAATAAAAAATATATTTTTATAAATGACATATCAAATTTTATATAAGATCATTTTTGTTTGTTGTTGAAATACTAAAGTAAAGTATGCCTGTTGAAATTTAAATTATCATCTTGAAAATGTTGGTTCATATTTATGGGATAAGCTCAGGGAGATAATGAATGTGTATCAAAATATTTCATTTGCTAATTAAGTAATAAATTGTATTAATATACAGTTTTATCATCAGTATTTTACTTGAATTCCTACAGATAGTTTAGTTTAATTTTAAATATTTGTATTCAAATAATAATGAAAATAATTGTTATACAATATTGGCAATATATTATTAATATTTAAGGAATAGCTGGCTTTATATCATTAAATTTTATTTTATATATACAAGATAGTCTGATGTCTTTAATTTAATTTTTATTTTATATATTGTATTATTAAGTCCTAAGCTGTATTAGATTTAATTTTAAATACATCTTACACTATATATTTTTATTTATAAATCACTATTTTAGCTTAATATAGAAAATTACATTATATGAAAGAGTAGTTGTCACATCTTGCACCATCTTTCATGATTAAAATAAATTTCATAATTAATGTTTCATTGTCTTGTCATAAATCTTTAATTTATATAATGCTATAATTAATAAAAAAACAACTGTTTTTAATTTTGAAGCAAAAGTCTTTATATCTAGTTGAAAAGTAAATATATATTTTATTAAATATATAGAAAATGATAAGACAAATAGCAATTTGAATCCTGTTATTTTATAATAGTAATTTTGAGTTTTAAATATATACTTATGTTTTTCTAAAATACATGAATATACAGTGGTATCTACATATTGTAATCACAGATATTATTAACAGTCGTGCTAATTCTGATGATGTTATATATCTCAAAACAATAAGTTAAAATAGACTTATAAAATTTTGCTTTTTGGAAGCAGAACCTGGTTTTAGATATCATTATCTTCAGATAAATAATGCAAAAAAAAAAACAGTTTAAAGATATCTATCAGCATCATGTGGCTAATAATGCACAATCATGTCTTAACTAGTGCTTTAAGTGTTAATCATTTTAATAATTTCCTTGCATATAGTAGTCTAAATTACTAGCATTATCTAGTTATATGCTGAGTTTCTATTAATTATAGTCTTATGTATTTACCTTGCTTAATGTTATCAGTTGGTTATTATTATTGTAGAGGTGAGTCAAAGTGAGTATAATAAGTAGATTCTACTGTATATGTCTATTTATCAAAATTCTTGAAGAACTCTTCATAGTCTCTCTCAAACTGTTTTGTTATTATTGTTTGCAGATATCTATGTAATTTATACATATAAATTGATTCGTTATAGAATTTACTTAGCTAGCTATAAATTACAATTAACATTTAGACAATGTTAATGCTTTTCTTCTAAGAACAATTAACAGTATTGACATAATATTACGTTTTTAATGCTTATACATAACAAAATAAAATTAACATCATTAAATTCATTAAAATATTATCATTTATAATTATATGACAAAGAGAATTATATATATTACTTTACACATACTTTAAAACTCCAAGTTACTATATTGTGCTTGACATTTAATTATGAGTTTGTAAATATTAGTAATAATAATTAAAATGCTTTTTATCTATTTTCTACAAGAATGTTTCCACATAAGTGTGAGAAAAAGATTCATATTTTAGCACAAAATAATCTCTAATCATTGGGGGCATCACGATGATATTTTTGTATGAGATAATGATTAAAATATATTTAATTAGGTCTGCCGTTTGCATCCAAGCTCAGAATATGGTATTCAATTTTATTCTCTTTGCTTCTTTACTAATTAATCTCAACTTTAATCAGAGTTCTGAGATGATTATTTGAATGAGAAATGAATTCAAGTGATGTTATTAAGTTAGAACTATAACACATTTTCATGTCAACGCTTTAGTGACAGCAAGATTATCAAATAGTAAAATTAAATGAAAGCATTATTTTAAAATTCTTTTTTCATCCTACTAGTGATAGCTAAAATTATCAAACGGTGTCACGATAACCAAGTATTTTAGCACACTTATGATGGGAGCATTCTTGCAATCACAATCATATGATTATTCAGATAATTATATTTTCGAAAATTTGTATCTGCATTGCACAAAAAAAAATATTTAAATTTTGAATGATATCGTTTTCATTTGAAATTTCTAATTTTACTATTTTATGTATTTATTTGTAACTTATTTTTCATTTGTAAACTGATTTAGTATATTAAATGGGTTTGAGAAAATACTTTTGTGAATGTATTTTTTTTTTATATACATAAAATACTTTGTTTTTAATCACATTTTCATTAAATATATACATGTATATGAACTTCAGTTCTATTCAAAACTACAGTAAAACCTCACTAATTAAAACTACAATATAATTTTGTATTATGTATTTTTTTAAAATAACAAATTTGTTGGTTTCAATCTGGGCTTTAACAATTATTATATTGCTCTTAGACAGATGCATCAAGATATGATCAAACGGTTAAAAAATGAAACACAGACAAAAATTAGTTTCTATTTTAAGCCCAAATTAGTAAATTTTCACAATGATAAGAACAATGTTATTAGTTTATTATTTTTTTGTATTGTCAAAGTTTGTCAAATCATTGTATATGTTCATTAAAAGTGCACAATAAAATTTGACTTTAAATAAAGTATACTTTATTTAAAAGTCAAATTATCATATAATATGCATTTGAAAAAAACCTCACTAATTCGGACTAGACTTCCCCCAATTATTCCGAATTAGTGAGGTTCTACTATATATGATTATTCTGCCTAATAACTCATGATTTAATTTTATAACTTTTAAATAATATTTATGAAAATGTAAATATTTATTTTATAAAGATTTATGTATTACTATAGATTTTTAATTCACTTTGTTGCAAAATGTTTTAAATATTTTCTATTTTAATTATTTAATTAGTTATTCTTAATTGTGTGAACAGTTGTCATATCTGTTTCTAGAATATAATATATTGTTTCATTTTTTCTGCATTAATATCAAAATTATTCATGCTAGCAAAATTTAATTATGTTGCCATAATTATTTATGCCACAGAAATTTATGATCTTCTGATATACTTACTCTTTACCATGTCTATCCAAGGTTTGGAAGTTACATTTGCATTGAAATATGCAATTATTCTTTCCTTATTTAGAAGATTTCAAACTCTTATGCAGAAATAAATTTTCAAAATGATAATATTTAAAGAATGTTTGTTAATATTTATAATCAAGTTTGTAAAATAATTTTTAGATCTTAAACATAAAAGAAAAATCTTGAGTGTTTAATTTAATTTGTATTAATGAAGTTCATCTTTATTAAAACAAATGAGTATAATAATATAAATATATAAAGAAGGTATTACTTTTGTACAAGGCCTGTGAAGAAAAATCTAGCCATTGTTAATATAATGAGAATGATTAGTGTGACATTCAAGTAACCTGGCATTCAAGGAGAATGAACTGATTGAAAGTGCAAGAACAGAAACTGATCTGAGGATTTTAATGCTTCTTGTATCTTCTTCAATAAATGTCTGTATTTTCTCATATTACATGGCTGGATACTTCCAGACAGAGTATGTATGCCGTATGACATTAGGGATCAAACAAACTGCTTCTCAAGAAGAACTAGTAAGGTTTGAAAACGTTTACAAATTTTATTCGTCTTTTCTCCAACACTGGTAAATGGTTCAAGTATGTGTTCAAACTGCTTCTCAACATTGACTCAACAATAAGGTTATGCACATGGGTGGTTTGGGGATTTAATTGGCAGTTCAAACAGAAAAATGTTACTATGTTAATAAAATAGTATATTGTATATAGCATACTTTTTTATATCCACTCAGTTCCTCCTTAGTCTACCTTAGGTATGTAAAGTATGTGTTTCTTTACATACCTAAATGATAAAAATTAATTTCCATTATATGAGGCCCTGATACATGGTCGTGTCATGTATCAAGTCCTCGTATGCTGGGACAACATTAATCCACAATAGGATATTAAAAAACACATATACATTTGACATCAACCTTTTCTTTGAGAATCCGACGTCAACAACACAGTTAAAATTTTTCAAAACATCACTCAGGTCATATTGTTGGTTTTTTACAAAGAACTGTATGTATCTTCATGTTGTTAATCATCTGTATCTGGTTGGAATGTTGAAAAGGATAAAGACTTTAAAATGACCCAAAATTATTTGTATGGTTATAATTATTATTTTTTTTAATAAGAAAATTAATCCTTGGAACTTTATAATTCATGTAACTACCATGCTATGCAAGGGATACTTATAATTTAGAAGTTTGATACTTTATTAAATGAGTCACTATGAATTCAAAAACTATGCACTAATTAAACATATATGAAGTGAAATATAATATACAGTATTCATAAATTAAAATATTAAATTATATATTTTTTATTCAATAACCATAATAATAATTTAGTTACATATAGGAGAAATTTGCAATTTATGTCCTCACTTACTTAGTTTCAATTCCTTACTCTTTAAATGGAAAATAGCTAAATCATCTGGTTGGAATGTTGAAAAAAGGATAAAGATATTGCTTCGGGATGCAAAATTAATAAATTTAAAAAAAAAATTTACAAGAATAAACAGAAAAATGTATAAATGGTAAAAAGATTTGTATAGTTTATAATAAAATCTCTTCTAACAGATTTCAATTTGAGATAATTGATAAGCCATTTTTGTATAAGTATAGAACAGCCACAGATTCTCTTAGTGTAGTTTTATTAGAAAAACTTCTAATTGAAATAAAAATGGTTTATTTATGAAAAATAGAACAAATTTTATTAATACAGGTTCATAGCTAGAGGGGGACCAGGGGTGGCTCAGCCACTCCTAGAAAATTTTGAGCAACTTTTGTCCATTGTTCCAAACAATGAAATTCTGTTTGATTATTTATATTTTTTAGTATGTAAGGTTTATAGATGTAAATATATAATTTTTACATCTTAAATTTTGAATCGTTTTGTATGTACATTACACTTCAAAACTTCTGGGGCTGGGTCCCAGATCCTTTTTTTCCTGTGGTACTCTTAACTCCCAGATAGACCATCCCAGAGTTTGCTAGAAGCCATCTGTCCTGTAGTTGGTTTATCATTGATATATAAGTTTATACTTTAAAGCTAAAAATGGATCAAACTTATCTATTATTATAAACTGAACATGATGAAATTCACTTTGAAAAGCAGTATTTATAATTATGTAGAACAGTTTTTACAACCATAACAATAACCACATACGGATAATGTTCTTTGAAGGAATCAATTCATAGTTTTTAAGGTACTATGAAGTTACTAGAAGGTATTATGATCTTATGATGTGGATAACTATGAAAAGTTGTTAAAATTATAAGATAAATAAGACCATTTGCAGAAATAATTTTCAAAATCTACATAAGACATTGCTTAGATTCATCCTTGTTAGATCTAAACTATTGCTTTTATATATCAGAAATAGCTAATATTTAATGGCCCGAAGATGAGCTTATGCACACTTTATTATACGGCTTGGTTTTGCAATTCCACGCACCTCACTCAATTGTATTTGACAATCAAATGTAAATATTTCTGTTTATACCAGGTGTAACCATTCAGAAATTTTTTTATAAAAGTTATTATTTTACATTTATTACAGATATGCATATAATAAAATTTATTTACACAAATACTTTTATATTAATTTAAATTACAAGTTTTATTTTTATGATAACAATTCAATATATTTGAAACTATAATAAATTTTATTTTCTCGTTGTGTCAAATTCCTTTGTATTTTGATCGAAAAAACAATTAAAATTTTGTTGGATATGACATTTTTATACAGATTTTTTTTTATCTAATACTTCTTTCAACAATGGATTATTTTTAATTATCCAACAGCAATACATTCTTTTAAGAACTATTAAATAAAAATATATATTAATAATATAATTTCTTATTTGTTTTAAATATAAAATTTCTAAAATTTACTCTCAGGAAATTTGTATCTTTATTTATTGTAAGAAAATATTTCAATCATTTATTTACACGAAGCTTTTCGGATATTTTTGTACATTATTCATTATAATTATACAGATTTAAATTTTTATTCTTCTGAAATTTATTTTTTAATCTTATTTCTCATATATACACTTATTGATTAACTTAAATAATTTTAATTTAACAAAATTTAGTCACAGTAAATCCTGTAAAAGGGAAAAAATGTGACATATAAATTGTTTATTTTTTTTTTCCAAATTTTAAAAATATTTATATAAAAAAAATAAATATAATATTTAAATCATTGTTTTAACTTGTCTATTAACAAAACTGGGATAGAAAAAATGTTATGGCATATTGATTAATAATACTTTTAAATAATACTTAACAAATGACACTCTAGATCATACTTGATATACTTAGAGAAGATTAATACTAATTTTGGGAATTGTTCTGGATCTAAACTTCCCAAAATTTGAAGTAATTTTAATATTCATCATAAATACAGTTCATATCCATAGATTAAATGCTTCCACATATCTCAAATTTTAAGACAATCCAAATCTCTTTTGTTTTCAAAAGTCTGAAAAAATAAATGAATGTAATAAATTTATATTCAAATAAATTCTTTCTTAGCTAATTCTAAATTTTTACTATCAAAAGATTCATACAAAATGGCTGGTTAAATCTAGTATTTTTGAATACTTTACTACAAAATTTTTTCCATCTGTAATTATATATCATTGTGTTTGAAGACGAAGAAAAGTTGACAATGGTTATAATAAACTGAAAAAAAAGAAAAGTATTCTGTTTCAATCAGTCCTGATGATAACTCATGTTTACAGTTTTCACAGATGATTGTATTTTGTTAAAAGTTATCTATATTAATTAGTTTTCGTATGTGATTTATCTCTTCTAGTGGGGGAATCATCACTCCTCCAGTACCCACACTCTATTGTAGCTTGGCCGAACCCATGATTAGCAAGGAAAAAATGTTTTATTTAGCAGTTAAAGTAGAGAGTTAATAAAAGGTGCTTATTTAGAATGCAATAGCATATCATTTAAGCATCTGATAAAAAGTAAACACGTGGAAACGATCTCCTCGACAGAACATCAATAATAAATTTTGTATCGTCAACCTTGTAATAAAATATATTTTTAACTCTTGTAAATGTGTCTAAAAATACATATACTATAAATCATTTGGTAACATGTTTGTAGTCGATATTCGACACTTGTGTCTTCAAATAAAATTTTTGGATAATCTTGCAATGTCACGCAGTATATAATTTTTAATAATATGGACCGAATTCCATGTAAAATCGAAATTAATTCCTTTTACTTCTTAAGAAAATGCCTAGTTTTAAATAGTTAAAGACAATTAAAAATTGATTCCTTTATTTAATAAATCTTAGATAACGTTATTTTATACTGGAATAGCATTTGATTAAATGCAAAACACAGTTTTCGGGGTATAATTTTAAGGCATTAAAAATACAATTCATCTGTGAATTGTTGTAATAAATGAAATTTTTAGTATAAAGTTTTGAATTACATCTCTTCATTCTCGAAATCTGGTGCAATGATAAATGCATCATTATTTTATCATTCGTAATATAGAATAAACAATAAAAGAAACTTTCCATTTTTTTTAAATTTGAATAACAGTTACGTATTTCAGCTTTTTTTTGTGTGTGTCTGTATGTTTCATTCCAATTTGGGGGTACTAAAGGGCATTTAAAACCATAACCCTGATGTATTTGGCCAGGTTTACAATGGGAGCTTGGTAGAGGACGGGCCTGACATATCCGGGACAAATTGCACATAAAAAATTCCTGGGAATTTTGGCCCGGATTCGATCCCTTGTCCCCCAAAGAGATTGACGAACGACCTGTATTTTGCTTTTGTAGTAAAATCTTTACATTTATACATCAAAGAAGCAAAAAGCATTACTGTATAATGTGAAGCGTGCAATGCCATAATGTTGTAAATGCCAAAAAACAAACCTTTCAGGAGAGATAAAAAACACTTTTTCTAGTAAATGTATTCTTTCAAGTCTTGAAAGAATTCATTTCAATTTTACAATATAATGGTAAAAAAACTCACTAGATTACAAATTCTCTGGAATAACGAAATGATGTAAACATAAGCCGTTAAGGCATTGCACGCTTCATATATATATAATTGTATTCATTTTTAAAATGATATATACAGTTTATCGTAAAGAAAATCTTATAAATAAAAAAAAGAACACACGAATTTGAAATCTTTAAAACTCGTAAATCAAACGAGACAATAAAAGAACAATACAAATTCTTTACTTGATATTATTCTGATTTTCTCATTTTTAAGTACATAAATTCCTTTGCATTAATAATTTTAGTAAGCTAATATTATTTTAACATATTTATAATAGATATTTGTATAAATTACTTACCACTTACCATTCATTAGGAGCAATTTTATTTTTCTTTAAATTTTTATTAATTCTATTTATAATTTTACTAAATAATCCTCCGAAGGCAAAGGCTCTAGTTTCTTTTTCCATCTCGTTACCGACGTGTTTGTCTAACCAGTTAACTACTTTGAGATAAGCTTCGAAATCGTAAGTATCTATGTTCTCGTTCTCTGCACATTGCAAAGCCACCAGAGAGATGCTCTTTACCAAAGGCGGTCTTTCCGAAGATGCCGAAGAAATTGCTGGATCTGACGTCATTTTAATAATACTCTTTACATTATTTACATTTTTTTTGTTTTTAATTTTCTGAAAAGAATGGAAAACTTTGTGAAATTTATTTATAAAATTTATAAACATTTAAAAAAAAAAAGGTCCAAAATTTTATCTTAAATTTAATAATATTGACACGTTGCACAATCAGGATTTAATTTCGCAATTTAAGTTTAGTATTGGATAATATTAATTAAAAGTAAACGGAAAAAAGTAAAAGACAGAATGACTATAGAAAGAACAAGAAATCCTTTCAAACATATTACAAAACCAAATTCAAAACGGAAAAGGAACGATACGTCCGGAAAATTCCGGATGTTTGATTGTCTTTCCGTTTTGAATTTGTTTTTAACTTCCTTTACCGTTTTTAAAATCATCCTCTGGTGAATTTATAAATAATTAAAAAATTTTTCGCAATTTGCTTCTTCTTAGACAAATTTATGTATTAAAATTTTCATTATTTTAAATAAACCGGATTAAATAGTAATCGAATAACATAACTTATCGAGTAATGCACATGTTTAACATCTGAAATATCTATGTGATATTACAAACTCTATTGTAAATCTACGGTAATATTTGGTTATAGATTCGTTACTATATAATACAATGTTTATTCCTCTATTTTATTATTATTATTATTATTTTTAAATTTATAAACCAATGTTTCTATTGCATTTTTCATTTTGATTATCTCTTGCCAACAGACAATGATTAAAATTGTTCTTCAAATTACGATCGAACTAATGCGATTATCATTCTAATAGAAAGAAGAGACAAAATTACATGGCTTTTTAAAATTAATATTGAATTTTTTTAAATTAAATTTCCTTCTCTTTTAATATATTTTACTGTCATGTGCTTACTTCCATCATACATATTGAAATACAGATGAATATTTGTGTTCTATACAAAAACGAGCAATTATTTTATTGTGACATCGTTTACAATATCGGCCTGCAATTTTAATTTATTTAATTTAAAGTATATGCTCTCCACCTCAAATTAGCAATGTCTTTCCCCTGTAAATCATACTTTTCCTTTAGCAATCGAGTCGTGCCAGTCATCCATCTAACTCCTTCCAGGGGAATTTTTTGAATTGGAAATAACACGAATCCTGGTCTTTTGCCCCTAAGGTTTATTCTTAATCGTATTTTATAATTAAAAATTAGCAAAATATTTTTAAACAGCATTCTCCATACACATGACAAGTCATTGATTATTATTGATTACATTTAAACAGACAAATTAAAATAAACTTATAAAAAGTAACTTAATATTTCAACACTTCTGTAATTTTCTAGAAACTTTTTTAAAATTACATTCATCTATAAATATTTCTATAATATTCAAGGATATACATTTATCGTATATCTCATATAAATCGTTTGATTACCTTAAGGAAGTTATTAGAATTTATTTTATTTTATTTTATTTTATAAAACTTTATTATTATATTACGGAACGTAACAAACTCATTAGCGATAACAACGAATAGAGGAATTATTGTATTTTAACAGATATTTGTCATGCTTAAATGATCCCAATAGTGGTCTACCAGGAACCTTGACCTACGACTGAGTATTGGTCTACGAGTCATTTAACGACGATTACGTGCAAATACCAGAAGATTATTATCCTTTAAATTACTTTAAACAGTTGAAATTACGTTAGAAACAAGTAACAATACTTTCTAAATTAGTCGTACGACTATGGAATTAAGATATGCGTTACTTCGTTAAACACGACAAAATTGCTAAATCATTGTGATTGCATAAAGTAACAATCTCTCAAACGTCTACAAAAAATCCAAGAAACTTTATTCTTAAAAAGTAACAAATAATTAATTATAATCAATCATTTAATATAATTCCAACATGACTCTATAATTATTTTATTTTGCAAATTAACAAGGAATTTGTAGATTAAAAAAGAAAGAAAAAAACTATGATTCATTTTGGGAATTAATTTTATATTAGATATTTAAATAGAATTATTATTATTATTATTATTTTTAAATTTATAAACCAATGTTTCTATTGCATTTTTCATTTTGATTATCTCTTGCCAACAGACAATGATTAAAATTGTTCTTCAAATTACGATCGAACTAATGCGATTATCATTCTAATAGAAAGAAGAGACAAAATTACATGGCTTTTTAAAATTAATATTGAATTTTTTTAAATTAAATTTCCTTCTCTTTTAATATATTTTACTGTCATGTGCTTACTTCCATCATACATATTGAAATACAGATGAATATTTGTGTTCTATACAAAAACGAGCAATTATTTTATTGTGACATCGTTTACAATATCGGCCTGCAATTTTAATTTATTTAATTTAAAGTATATGCTCTCCACCTCAAATTAGCAATGTCTTTCCCCTGTAAATCATACTTTTCCTTTAGCAATCGAGTCGTGCCAGTCATCCATCTAACTCCTTCCAGGGGAATTTTTTGAATTGGAAATAACACGAATCCTGGTCTTTTGCCCCTAAGGTTTATTCTTAANTTATTTTTATTATATTAGTTATCTAATTTCTTCAATATCTCATTTTGTAAATATTACTTTCACATTTTTTTTTTTAATTTCTATTATCAAAATAATGTAAACATTTTCTGTCGAGTTTATTTACTGAAATATTTATATTATTTTTAAATTTTTATTTTCTAAATATTTTATTAATTTATTTACAATAAATCTTTAATTTATGTTAGTTCTCTTAAGTATTCTTATGAGTAATTACTATATTCTATTAACTAAAAATATGTAAATATTACAACGAAATTTTCTTATTAATCTTAGAATAAGTTTCGCACGAGTAAATGCTAAATATTGGAAATTTCTGCAGAGATAATGATTCATTTTCTTAGGCATTGGTATGTCGTGTGCATTTTGCGGTGTCGACGTGTTTTTCTCGGTAACTATTTTATCACAAAAATATTTTCTTGAATCGTAGTATATATATATATATTAAATTAAACTACGTTATCTGAATCAAATAATATATATTTCATAAACTTAAATATATCCTTAATTGTGCCTGAGAGCATGAATGTTGAGGGAGAGCTGGGCGTTTTTTTCTCCAGGCCCAGAGAAAACTTATTATCTCTACCCCTATAAAATTAACGATATTTTAACTAACAGGAAATAAAATCTTTAAGACTGATTTTTTACTAATAAATAAACGTTCTACGTATTTCATTTGTTCAAAAACAAAAGGTTAAAGGCTCACCTAAGAGACAAAAGCGATCCGCTCTACCCCATATAGTCTCCATAAGTACAAAAGCTACATATAATTATCAAATTTAGATCTACATAGCTAAATATAAACGCTTAAAGACAACATTTCTTACATATTAAAGGGTTTTGGATTAATAAAAACAATTACTTCGTTTTAATCTTAATTTATATGTGCAGAAGTCGAAGATATTACTGGAACAACTCACGAACCTGAATACACTACATCTATATCATTGGATACAAATGTCATATGTATTGTGCATCAAGTATTTCTAATGTGTACATAATGGTTGTCACGTTATATATTATATCATGTATTATACTAAGAGAAAGAGAAAATTTTATTGCAGAAAATGTTTGGCATTTAATTTGCCTTCTTTAAACTCGAAAGCTTCGCATCATTAAATTTAATACATGGAGAATATTAGATATATTCTGTCACTATTTAATGATGTGGTCGATAGAATATAATTTCTAAATAACAATAGCTTATATAGAAACAAATTTCAGAATATCACGTCAGTAAATTGGCATAATGATCATTCTCTAAAAGAAGTTCTAATGTTAACAAACGTTAATCTTAACATCAAATAATTTTAATATGTTCTTAAAAATTGCTTTTATTTGTCATGTTTTTCGAAATTGGGTGGGGGGGAGATAGTGGAAGTGAAGCCACCCTCACTATACTAATGATGTGTATGGTGGTGAGGTCACACCACCATATACATTATTACAGGTCATTTACATACACATATCATATTAAATTCTACGTTTTGTTATGTTTATCAAATTTCAGAATGGAGAGAATGGTGAATTAGACTCACCTCCCTAAAACATTATTAAAATACATTATCATCAGACCTCGTAGAAACTTTCATTCTCTTTCGTAATTCGTTTCATATTTTTATGAATTCTAATGAAAATAATAAATAAATAAATACAGAAGAAATATAAAATAATATTTTATCCAATAATATAATAATAATAATAATAAAAACATACAAAAAACATTTCAATTAAAAGCTGTGACAAGTTAATTGCTGGAAAACCGTATTCTAATAACTGTATATAACTAATTTCACATTCAAAAAATGAAAATTTCATCGGTTATTTCTTTCTAAAGTAATTAAAATCGTTAAATTAAACAATAAATAATCATTGTTCAGTCAGTTACATTAATTAATAACGAATGGTATCATATAAAATTAATATTGATTAAATATAAATGATTTATTATTTAATTATATTATTTCATTGTATAATATTAAATGAAAGAGTTAAGAGCTAAACATAATTAAATAGGAGAAATAGTAAATGAAATTGTTTCCATTCTTTTCTTTATTACGAATTATATTCTAATAATTTTGGAAGATCAAATTGGATATTCTAATGAATAGATGGATGAATGGATACAATAATATTATATTGTAATATGATATTCATCGTAACCATTAACCTTTTAAATATATTATATTTTTATATTACGAATGTTACGATGTAACTAGAGAAGTTCTTGAATAAAATTTAATTAAATAATATGGATTTTTTTTTATTTTATAAAAATTCTTCTAAATGGTAACTTATATAATTTATTTATTAAAAAAAATAAAATTAACTACTTTATATACAAAAAAATTATAATTTATTAATTATAAAATAAATTATAATTAATTTAATAATATATTGGATACATAATTAAAATTTTTATTTTCTAATTATTTAATTAAAATTTTT